GTATCGTCCCCCCCCACCCCCCCCCCCCACTGTTCCCATGAGAAGTTGGTTTCAGCGTCTCCAACCTTGACTACGAAGACGGCACCGATGTCTTTTCCCCAGGCTTCACTCGTGTAATAAAAAGTAAGGCAACCAGTAAAGGACCCTATCTCACACCTTCACGCGTATTGGGCATATAGGGCTAGACCTAAATTGTATAGACCAGTCGGCACCGGTGGGGGATGTGGTCAGCATCACACCGGCCGCCTTTACTTCTTTGACTACGTCTGGCACCCAAGCAAGGCTGGGTAGACCTAGGAGCCCAAGCTATTTTTGAAAAAAAAAAAAAAAGTCTGGCTCCTTGAGGGCCGAACCTAAGACCTTCAGATCCGCAGGCAAGCGTCTTTCCTATTCTATACACCGTGGAAGCTAAAAAGATCATGTAATTACAGAACTATTTATTACTGTTAAAAAAAATCTGGTAGTTTAGTGGCTAGTATTCTTACTGCACAGACAGTGGTCTTCGTTTGGTCCTCAATTGAAAAAAAAATTATTTTTTTTATCTTTGCCAGTTACAGCCTTGCAATAGCGAGGCGTGACTAATTCGCATGTGTACGCCCACGACCGGCTGTATATTATATATAAATAGAGAAGGCCGTGTGTACGCCTTAGCACCGATTACACCTGAGATGGTATCACGTGAATGTTTTCCTCCTCGTCGCTTCGATGTTAAGAGTATGCGTGCACACCATGCACGTTACAGTCAGTAGCGTAGGCACGCAGCATGTTTTTTCCCCCCTGCTATTTTCGAGATGTTAATAAAGTGACATATGTGTAATATATAGTAAATATTAACAATAAATAGTTGAAAAAAAAATTAATTTTTCATTCTGGTTTACGTTTAACCCACCCAGTTGATAGGTAGGATACAGCCGTTACATTCATATTTGACTTCAATGTAACGAAAAATAGCATCCCACAAGGGGATGACTTATAACTGATATATGATTTTATTGTCTGACTGACTGACTGACTGACTGGCTGGCTTTCTACCCCACAAGGACATAACACAAGCGATAAACACCCGATGACACAAAGTGCCACCATGTGGGTGAGGATCACCAGTGGAGAGGTCACAGAAACCGCGTTCAGCCTTTGGGCCATATTTATGGCCAGGCTATATTGCGGTCCCTGGAACTCACTTTAGAAGAAGACTCAGGAACATGAACACAATTTTGGTCCAATTCTGGACTTCAATCTTGTTCCATGTTTCAACCAAATGAGGGCTGTACTTTGAGCTTGTTCCATGTTTCAAACAAATGATGGCTGGACTTTGGGCTTGTTCCATGTTTCAAACAAATGAGGGCTGGACTTTGATCATTTTTGTGTTTTTTTTTTTTTTATTGATTTCATGTTTTCAAAACAAATGAGGGCTGTATTTTGAGCTTGTTCCATGTTTCAAACAAATGAGGGCTGGACTTTGGGCTTGTTCCATGTTTCAAACAAATGAGGGCTGGACTTTGGGCTTGTTCCATGTTTCAAACAAATGAGGGCTGGACTTTGATCTTGTTCCATGTTTCAAACAAATGAGGGCTGGACTTTGAGCTTGTTCCTTGTTTCAAACAAATGAGGGCTGGACTTTGGGCTTGTTCCATGTTTCAAACAAATGAGGGCTGGACTCTGGTCCTGTTGCATGTTTCAAACAAATGAGGGCTGGATTTTGGCGCAGTTTCGTGTTTCAAACAAATGAGGGCTGGATTTTGACCTAGTTTCCTGTTTCAAACAAATGAGGACTGGACTTTGATCTTGTTCCATGTTTCAAACAAATGAGAGCTGGACTTTGGGCTTGTTCCATGTTTCAAACAAATGAGGGCTGGATTTTGGCCTAGTTTCCTGTTTCAAACAAATGAGGGCTGGATTTTGGCCTAGTTTCCTGTTTCAAACAAATGAGGGCTGGACTTTGGTATAGTTTCTGGTTTCAAACAAATGAGGGCTGGACTTTGGGCTTGTTCCATGTTTCAAACAAATGAGGGCTGGACTTTGGTTTAGTTTCCATGTTTCAAACAAATGAGGGCCCCACAAAGCAGTCAAACTTGTTTGCTACAACCCTCCATAACAGGTAAGGATATGACACTGTGAGTGTGCAATTATTCCAGAGATCCCAGGGGGTCATCACAGGAGCTGTGGAGTTTGTGCTCTGTGCAATGCCCCCAGTAAGAGACCAGCCACTTTTCAGAGGTAGACAAAGCCAAACTGGAATAAACCCTGATCTAATTAATTAAGTCAATCTATCACCTTTCAAATGAAAAAAAAAAATGCCGAACAAAACCCAGAAAGATGTTCACAGTTCACAATCAAATAATGCTTATTATTATTATGCTTCTTCTTTTCATTGTTCCCCTTCTTCTTCTCTTCCTCCTGTGTTTTGCACTTCAAAAAGGCAACTAGCACATTGTACTGCGGTTTACAGCTAGGCAGCAATATCTGCGCCTTTCAGCCCAACATATCCAATTTTAGCAAACCACTAATTAGTTGCCTTTTATGGCATGCTTGTTAGGGAGCCAATGGATCTATTTTCCTCCCAAACAATGAGACCCTTGAACCCATACAAGGTGGTCAAGTGATTTAGTTTTTTTTAATAAGTAAACAATTCAGAATGGTGACAATTAAATTTTACTATTTTTTATTTTTCTGGTACTGACTAATCCATACAGAACAAGCATGCAACAACTGGTGGAGTACAACAGAACAAGCCTCACTTCAGAAACCTATTTTTTTTAAAACAACATTATTATTCACCTATCAAGGTGATCATTAAAGCCTGTAACTTCAGTCATTTCATCGTCTTCTTCTTAGCATTCACTGGCTGTAAACTCAAGCCGAAAGTTCAGGTTGTTTGTCCACCTCTGGACTTTGGTCATGTTCCAGAAGCTCAGTTTTGCATACACATCCATTTGACAGATCTGGCTCTTTCCCGTGTGGTTTCCGGGGCCCTGTTATAGGGAAAACAAAAGAGTAGACTAACTGGGAGCTTCCTTCAAAGTTGGAGTGCATATGCCTGAGGAGCAAGGAACCAGCAGTCTGCAGAAAAATGAGTCAGATCTGAAAAACAGATGCACACACAACACTCAGTTTCTGGAACAGGACTGCAGTCCAGAAGTAAATGAACAACAAGAACTTTCTGCCAGAGTTTACAGCTGGTGAACGTGAAGAAGAAGAACAGATCTGTAAAATGGTGGTCCCTTGCCTCTCAGGCAGATGCACTCTGACTTCGAAGAACACACTCTAATTAGTTGCCTTTTATGACATACTTGTTAGGGGGGCAAGGGGTTTCTGCTTTCCCTCAAACAAAAATGCTCCCCAGATCCCACAGGGGGATTTCACCTAACAGTGATGATGATGATGATGATCACTAAAAGCTGTAACCTCAATCATCTGGTTCAAGGTTTGAACAACAGATCAACATCATGGTACACCGATTTTAACCCATAAAAGCTCCATTCTTTCTTCTAACTCAAGTCTGAGTCCGAAAAAGCTCAGCACAGTGCACAGGCTCTGTAGCACCGGCGAGGATCCTGAAATACTTTGGGTAGATTTTTAACTCAAAGTTTTTGCCCGGGCAGCACAATTAGGCTACTCTTTTCTATTTCCAACTGCCCGCCAAGGGATTTTTTTATGTGCACAACAATACACACGGGCGTCCGATCTCACTACCCAGAGACCGGGGGGAATTACAAAAAGTCCCCGTCCACATGAAAAAATCCCAGCCCTTCACTGGGATTGAACACGGAACCTCTAGCAGACACCATGCCTCGAGACCACGCAGCCCCCTCCTCAATCATCTAAAGACTAGGGCTGTACCGAATAGTGATTTTCACTATTCGGCCGAATACGAATAGTGTATAGTGTATAAAATATATCTTTAAAAAAAACCATTCATAATGTCAAATGTACGCTGAACTTTTACTTCACATAAAGTAGCACAGAATAGTCATCTTATCTTTAGCATTCTGAGCCCTTGAGGTTTACTGCTGCAGATATCACTCGTCTCCATTCATCTCTCTGGCTGGCCTTATCTTCACAATCTGCATCCTTCAGTGAGTCTGTGGTAACTAATAACTAGGATTGAAAGAATCCTAAGTACTATAACAAGTAACTAAACTTGGAAATTGTCACTGACAGCTTAGTTAATGCAGGAAAGCTGCATTAGCTTTTAACAAAACCAATAGTTCCATGTTGTCAGCATTAAGCCCGTGTATGCAGAAGCGGGTGTGAGGTAACTACTATTCGTATTCGGCCCGACCGCAACTATTCGGCCGAATACCGAATAGTGAATAGGTCCACTATTCGGCCCCGAAGCGAATACGAAGCGAATATTCGGTACAGCCCTACTAAAGACTTTTAGGAGCAGGAGCCTTCTTTTTTACAATCCGGTGGTTCTCAAACTTTTCTGTGCATCTGCATTAATGCACTAACAGCTGTTTGTCCATGAGTGCAATAACCACTGTACATTTACATCAGTACATAAACCACTGTGCAATATCTTCCTGTTGTGTGGTTATATGTCACATACCACTTGCAGTCTAGTCTTCAGTTCCATTCAATCCTGTGCTACCTGTCAACATCATGGATGGAATCTTATCCAGCACCTTTGGCCTTTCTCAAAAACATTCATCTAAGGGTTTCTCTTGAATGTCCTTATTGCAATTATTACATATATCTTTTTAGAGTTCAGTGGCTGTAAACTCTGTCAACTTAAGGACCTCAGTCTTGTTCTAGAGCTTAAATTTCACGAACACACTTTTTTTAAATATCTGGTTTATGCAGACTGTTGGTTCCTCGTTGCTCAGGCAGACGCTCCGATTTCAGAGAGAAAATACCTTACTAGTCACCTTTTATGACATGCTTGTTAGGGAGGCAAGGGGTCTATTCTTTTTTTCCCCTCAAAATGGGGTCATGGAACCCACACAGGGGTAATTACATATCTGAACAGACTACAGAAGTTGTTAGAGAATGTGAAACTAAACAAAGGGTTTACAACTGTGGCTCCCATCAAACACATAGAATGCGATCTCTCCAGAATCAACCACTGCCCAGTGCAGAGGCACCTCGTCCTTAAATCGGGACCATGCCTGATGGTGTTCTGCCAATCCTGGAAGGTCAGATGAACACCTGAAGAAAAAAGGGCCAAAAACAAACAAAAACTGAAGGAATCAACTGTGTTATGACAAACTGCTCAATGGTAATTAATTCACTCAACACTAGCTACGTTTAGGAAGCTCAACAAGGGAGGGAAAAAAAAAAGCACACAGAAATACCCAAATGTTTTGAGTGGTTTTATCCATAAATCTTTTTTGTCTAATTTAGCCAGTGCAGAAAGACTCAAAGACTTCCATCTACACTGCAAAGGTGGTTAATTTAGGCAATAATGGCTGTTTTATCTGAACTGATAAACAAATAGTGTTTACAAAGAAATCTACCATTCTAGAATGCAAAACATTCTGCAGTATTGATTATACAGATGTGACTATGGAAAAGTCATAAGAATACATTATGATCACCTAACCCCACAAAGAAATCCTCAAACTTTCACAGCCCTATAGCAATATGCGCCTCAAGACTATCTTTATTTTTAAAATTATCATCATTATCAAGTGTCATGCTTGAGCAGTTATGTTTCATTATCTCACTCATGATGAGCCAATGAGATGACTTTAACCCCGTCACTCTGAGAAAGTCAGTTTTTCTATTTTTACAGGTTTTTGAAGACATTATATCTTTGGGCAGTGAACAATATGCCTACACATAACAGCTTTGGTAGTATTTGCAATTGCATAGTGTGTAGACATCGGGGGTATGATGATATTTACTTTATAAAAATCTCTCATTATTTATTTAGTAAAGTCTTGGAGATCACAGAAATACCAGAGAAAGATATCTTGTGAAACTGTTCAAATAAAAAAGGGCGATTTACAGGAGTGTGGAAAAACTATAGAGAAATTATGTTGCTGTCAGTTCCTTGAAAAATATTAAGTAGGATTATTTTGGAAAGACTAAAAGATGCTACTGATAAAAAGTTGAGAGATGAACAGGCAGGTTTTCGGTCAAACAGATCCTGTACTGACCAGATAGCCACATTAAGTATAATAACAGAGCAAAGCATTGAATTGAATTCACCACTCATTCATTCATTCAGTAGCATGTCCCTCGCGGAACCTCGCTGCCATAACAACGCTCCGGAAAACCTTCCTATCATGAGCAAGATGTCCTGCGTCTGATACACCCATCTGGAGATCATCTGCCACATCCTGCATCCATCTTCTCCTTGGCCTTCCTCTTCCTCTCTTCCCAGGCATATACCCCTCCATTATTGTTCTCTCTAGACTTCCATGACGTTTCAAGTGACCAAAATATTTCAATTTTCTTTGTTTTATTGTCTTTACTAGCCAACCCTCTTCAATATTCAGCTCTTGAAGTATGGATGCATTTGTTCTTTTCTTTACCCAAGATATTCTTAGAACTTGTCTGTAACATTTATATTCAAATGCATTTATGCGCTGTTCCGCTTGTTTAGTAAGTGTCCAGGTCTCACCACTAGACTATGAAAAAGCTTTTGACAGCACTGGTAGGGAATCTCTCTGGAAACTAATGAGGCACTATGGAATCCCACAAACAAATTTATGAAGACTCCAAATTGCTATTGCTGCTGCTTCTCTTCCCCTAGTTTCTTATGGTAAAGTTTTAGAGAATTACAACAATACTTTTCTATGCAACAAATTTTTGAAAAGGTAATTTTTTCAACAGATTTTTATGCGGCGGGCAATAGGGTTCAGAAGGGTAAAGAAATCATCGAAATAGTTATAAGATAAAGAAGATGGTGACACACTGGGTGCACTCTAAGAAGACATGGACAGGAAATCCCCCCCCCCCCCCCCCCCCCCCCCCAAGCAATGAAATGAAACAAATTGACTGAAGAAAAAAAAAAATTGCAATAACCCAACAACACGTATTATGGAAGTATGATGATAACAAGTACTCACTTGCACACAGAGACGCGGTGGTTGGGAACTCCTGGCATGCTCTTCTTGAATCGACTGTCAGGCAGGTGGACATCAAAGGTAACTTTCACATCAACCATACAATCAGAGCTGAGAAGTGAAGTCACACAAAAACATACAATGAGAGGTACAGAGTAAATCCTAAATAAACATACAATCAGAGGTGAGGAGTACAGTTACAAATAAACATACAATCAAAGGTGAGAAGTAAAGTTACAAATAAACATACAATCAGAGGTACAGAGTAAATCCCACAACAACAACAAACACAGAGGTGAGGAGTAAAGTTACAAATAAACATACAATCAGAGATGAGGAGTAAAATTACAAATTAACACACAATCAAAGGTACAGAGTAAATCCCAAATAAACACACAGAGGTGAGAAGTTAAGTTACAAATAAACATACAATGAGAGGTACTGAGTAAATTCCAAATAAACACACAGAGGTGAGGCGTAAAGTTACAAATAAACATTCAAATCAGAGATGAGGAGTAAAGTTACAAATAAACATACAATCAGAGGTACAGAATAAATCTCAAATAAACATACAAAGGTGAGGAGTAAAATTACAAATAAACATACAATCAGAGATGAGGAGTACAGTTACAAATAAACATACAATCAGAGGTACAGAGTAAATCCCCAAAAAAACACAGAGGTGAGGAGTAAAGTTACGAATAAACATACAATCAGAGATGAGGAGTAAAGTTACACACAAACATACAATCAGAGGTACAGAGTAAATCCCAAATAAACACACAGAGGCGAGGAGTAAAGTTACAAATAAACAGTCACAACTGAGAGGTAAAGTTACCAATGAACAAAATCATGGCTGCAAAGAAGTAAAGTTACGAATAAACATAATCAGGCATGTAAAGTCACAAATAAAATAATTAGAGGTGTAAAGTTACAATAAGATTATGATTCAGCACAGCACAAACACCCTGGCTGGTTTTAGGTTTCCATTGGTATTTTTTTCTCCACAGGTTTTCAGTATTTTATTGTTTTCCTAAACATCTTCTTCTTTCTTCTTATTTTCTAAACAAATACCCATAATGATTGATGAACAAATAAATTAAAATATTCTAGATAATAAATACACATAAACTCCACTTTGATGGAGTCTAACAACCAGTATAAACACTTTATAACAAAGGATATGAAAACCGCACAGTGTTAACTTACTCTGTTAAAAGTCCAGCATTGTCTGCAGACTGGATAATGTTGAGTTTGTCCAGAATACTCTCTGGGAAACAGAAAAAGACATAGTTCAAAGGGTTGGAAAGTACAATCCAATGGTAATTCTTCAGCCTGGGTGGTGGCAATTTATCTATTTTATAACAGTCATTCGACGAATATGAATGTCAAGATGATTTTTTAAAACTAAAATGAGATTCATCAAATATCGAGTATATATAAAATTATTATGCAGTTAAAACAAGAACCATGTTTAAGAAGACGCAAAATAAATCTGTAGCTTATGATTTATATTCAATATTATACATGTAGTAGGGACAGGGATTATGAATCATCTTCTTCTTTTTCTTCTGCATTCACTCTTAAAGGAGTGGTGGGGTTGTGGTTTACAGCTAGGCTGATATAATCTATGCCTTTCTGCCTACCACATCCTATTTCAGCATGTTCTTAATTGGTCATCTTTTATGACATGCTTGCTGGGACTGTGGGTCTATTCTACTCCCCACCCCCACCCTCCCCACCCAAATGGGGCCCAGGAACCCACAGTGGTAAGGACCATGTTTAAAACCACAGAAAACGTGGAGGTATAAAACCACAGAAAACATGGAGGTATAAAACCACAGAAAACATGGAGGACCATGAAAAACAAATCTTTGATGAATAATCAACAGTATGCATGCAGTAGGGACATGCACCATGTTATTTCTTTTTTCTTTTTAAAGATGGAGACTAAAAACTCTGGCTGATGAAATTTCAGCTTCATCAAGTTGCAGATCCTTTGCAAAAAGTCGCTCTCATCATGGCAAATCCAACACTGCCAATATCCAGTGCATTCGAATCATTAGATAACTAACAGGATCCTGGTTCCCTTTTTCTATAGCTGCAAATTCTAGATCGTTTTTTGGACACACATAACAGGTTAAAGTTAAATTTTTTTTCTTCTTCTTCTACTTTCATGTCAGGCTACAGTTCTATTCGTTCATGTTAATGACAGGAGGTCAAGATTTTTTTTAGGAGGGGGGGGGGGGGGGGGGGGGGGGGGGGTTACCACTTCTGCTAGGCAGGGCACATGACAATGATGATAACAAGTCTAACACATCTTGACTGTTTATGTTAAGCTTGAAAATAAGCAAACATGCACTTTAACTAGTGTAGAACCTCAAAAGTATGTTTACTCTAGGTAGCTGTGTGAAGAACTAGAACCACCTTACAGTGACTGCTTCTATAGCAAAGTTTCATTTAGAATGAAGAAGCACAGCTAGTGCAGTCCTCAGGGACCATTATCATCACCATGTACCCTGCCAACTGGTGTAGACGCTCATGCGTCTCCACAGATCACAATCCCTGGTTGCCTGAACAGCTCTCTTGATGATATCCCTCTATGCCAACGTTTCAGCATCATCTCTCTCGGTGTGCTTCTACCCCTTTTTCCACGGATCTTTCTAGTTGTCACGATATTTTCTAATGTCTCTCTTCTCATTATGTGGCATAGAGATCTACAATGGTAGCAATTTATTGCATAATATATTTTTCATTTTCTGAAATGCAGCTTTCGCTTGACCTATTCTGTGATTAATCTCTGCCACACATTTTCCATCTGATGATACGATTGTTCCCAGATATTTGAATTTATTGACTTCATGGACTATGCACATTAGGATTACATTTTTGCCCCTCAGAGAAAAACCTACAACCTTACCGAGGATAAAAACCTTGGTGTCCCGCATGAAAGCCCAAGATTATTAACCATTTGGCCAGTCACTCCTCATAAACAACAGAAAAACTGGCAAATCACTTAACAGTAAACTGAACACAACATTTTTTTAAAAGGTGTCCAATAACTTACGGTATGTCCAGTTTTCTCCAGGATGAACTAGGGGAGTGACTTTGCCTTTCCATAAGTGATCAACAGGAGAAGTCTGTGACAGCTCTTTCATCCTCTCAGCCAGCTTCTCTTTGTATTCTTTCCAGTTAGCAACTGGGAGTTTGGGTTTTTTGTTTATCCACTCAGGGAAAGAAAACTCAAGACCCTGAAGTCTCTTCTCCTCTTCCTCATCTCTCTGGACTTGTTTGCTGACTTCACGTGGAGGGTTCTGTGAAATTATCAATTAATTTTTGCACAGATGATAGTGTAAGATAAAGTAAGTACAGTCAAGGATCCTTTTAATGTCAATGTTGCATCTGGCAAATGATGCTAAATTCATTTTTTGTAACCAATCGGCACTTGACTGGCCATTTACACCTTTACTTCCCATGACTTTACCTAGTCCCCATTTTAGGCTGGCCCAACCTGGCAGACTAGGTAACTTTTTTTTTTAAATGCCTCCATGCAGATTTGAGCTTAAGACCTTCAGGGCGAAGGTGAGAATCTAGCTACTTCATCACTAAGGCTCCAATAATCTAATTTTAAAGTTTTTGTGCCATAGAGCAACAAGTATGTTAGTCTTAGGGAACTGAAAAATACAGCAAAAAAAGAGTTGTAGAAGTAACTGAGATACAATAGGCTAAAAAAAAAAAAACAATAACTGCTTGTAAAGCCTAAAGAGGTGTGCATTGTTTAAAGCATAACCAATGGACATACTGTGTGTTCTTTAGTACCGAAAGAGTTACATGCTTCAGACATGAGCAAGGTCTCTCCAGACATAGCTCATTAATGTGTTTTTTTTCTTCACATCTTTGTCTCACTCACATACACACACATATATGTGTCTGTGCCCGCATGTATATGTATCTCAATTAATTTTTTTTAATTCTTTACATTATTTCACACATATGTGCATACGCGTCAACATGTACAGGTGCACCCAAACCCACCAACACATACTCATTGATCACCATACACAGAGAGAGAGACAGACAGACAGACAGAGACAGAGTTTCTTTGTTTGTTAGTTTGTTTTAGTATCCAGAAGCCATGAGTTGTTAACCCTTAGGCTCGGTATTATGGATATCGCAAAACTTCGGCCTTGATTCCATTGTAAATACCATAAATCTGGGAGGAAATGTGGCTTTCCTGCCTACCCCCGGGATTGAACCCGGACCACAAGGAGTTCGTCACCCGGTCTCCGCGCAGTCCGGATTAGCCAACTATGCTAGAGAGCCGGACAAGAGAGAGACAGACAGACAGACTTGCAAATGTATATATACTGGAAAGTATTAACGATATGCTTTAATATCAGACTATAAAATAAAAGACCATTCCTTTCATTTGTTAGGTAAAGAGAAGTCATGAGTGCACACATGGCTGATAAGGCCAATCCTGGCATGGAACTTCTTGCACAGTGTGGGCATGGGATTTAGGCCTCAACAGTTTGGAAATCTAGCTGTCTTCTCTGATTTGTCTTTTTTTTTTTTAACTGCTGCTGTCACTCTGGCCGGTTCACATGCTGCCGCTGCATAACAACAAGTTAAAAGCCAGGATGAATAGTCGCATGCACAAATCTCCCACATATCGGGATCTAGGCCATGTCTTTGGAGATCTATGGATTGCCATTTAAACATTTTATAAAATTTATACTTTTTTAAAGGCACAATAATAGTTAAACAGCTGAACAAGAATAAAGCATAACTACAGTCACTGACCACCAAATAGGCACTGAAATAAGAAACAAGCTGGATTGAAGAAACAAGGATGTACAAGAAAAATCTATCAAAAGGACTGCACAGGACAGAACAGACTTTTATTTTCAAACTATTCAGGATTGGGCACTTGGACCAGTCTTACACTGGAGGACTGTGAACCACCCTGTGATGTGTAATGGCACAACAGGATGATGGTAATGATGATCTGAGTAAATAGAACTAAAACAGTAAGAAACAAGAGTACAAACCATGGTATGGTATCTCTCTACATCATACTGCTGGAGTTCTTCATTTTCAACACAAACATCCTCTGGAAGCAGCTGGACACCTGGAGGCTCTAGTACTACCATATCTGTGTTGGCAATGTTTGGCAAAGGCAGCAGTTTAACAGAGGCATCACTACCATTGCTCTTGTCTTGACTGTCTTTGTCAGATCTCTTTATGGAGATACAGTGGGACTCTGCTGAAGCTGGGGTGCTGGTTTTATTGATGAAACAAGACTCCCAGGAATTGTCAAAAACTCCTCTGCATAATCTGTCAGTACTTTCTGGATCTAATAATGCTTCAGCATCTGCAGCACTTTCTGTGTTCACTTCTGAATTACTGTTTACACAAGTGGCATCTGTACAGCTTCGTTTGGCATCTAGACTAGAATCTTTGTCCGGGGAAAAAGGACGCTTCTTCTGATTGGTCCCGGAATTGTTCTCACTACTGAGGTCTTGTGAAGAATTATTAGACTGTTCCGTACTTTTTTTCCCATCTGTGAGCAAACAGCTATTTTCAGTAGAAGTTTCACCAGTTTCCATGTAGCTGGGTTTCAAGCAGCTTTCAGGAGAAATATTTTCTGATGTGTCTACAATAAGGTCGCTGTGAGAAACAGAATTAACTTTATCCTTGCTATCTGAAATTGTCACGACAGTTTTTGTTGGATCTTCAGTGACCAGCTTGGGTATTTCAGCGGCATTCTCATTCTCATTTTGTTGTTCCCCTTTTTTGCCCCTTTTGCCAGCTTTGACCACTCGTTCTTTGCGAGTTTTCTTGTTGATGTATTTGTCAAGGTTGATCTGTTTTTCATATGGGGTAATGACGGGCCTATAGAAAGAAATAATACAACACTGAATAATTCATTATCTCAAACCAAACTTTGCTTTATCATATTATAAAAGAAATTGGCTTCTTATTTAGCATTCATTTTTAAAAAGGCAGTTGGCATGTTGTGTTGTGGTTTACTGCTAGGCTGTGATATCTGCTTCTTTTGGCTTAACACATCCTATTTCAGCAACCTCCTAATTATTATCCTTTTACAGCAGTCAGTTATTCCCCCCCCCCCCCTCCCCACCAACAGGACCCTAAAACCTACATGGGGAATACACATAACAAAATTAAGTTTTCAGACAATTAATTCACAAATGGAAATATTACTTTCACTTCTAAAAGAAAAACAAGTAATGTTCCCGGATGTAAGGTCAGATGTTACTGTCATATCAGAGGTTTACTGTAACTGTTCTTGTGTGAGTTTAAGCTTTAAACAACAGATCAACATCATGGCACAAGGGTAGTAACCCATAAGTACTCCGTTCTACTTCTAACTTAAGCCTGAGTCTGAAGAATCTCAGCACAGTGCACTAATTATGTAGCACTAGTGAGGATCCTAAAATACTTTTGGGTAGATTTTTAACTAGCATTTTGCCCGAGCAGCGCCGTTAGGCTACTCTTTCCTATTTCTGATTTTTTTTTACATGCACAGCAATACACATGGGCGTCCGATCTTACTACCCAGAGACCAAGGGAAATTATCAGAAATCCACGTGAAAAAATCTCTGCCTTCATCCCGACTTGAACCCGAGACCTCTAGCACTTGAGACGGACACCATGCCTCGAGAACACTCAGCCCCCTCTTATGTGAGTACTTCTTGGCACACCAAGAGAAGCCCTTAAACATGTGCTCTCCCAGTTTGGAAGTCTAAACACAATTAACAACACTTTCCCCATGATATGCCACTAAGATAAAACATTGCAGACCAACTGGCATTAGACTGGTTATGTGGTAAAAATGATGCCAGTTGCCTTTACTTTTCAGAACAATATTCGGGTATCCGGTTTTAAGCTGGGCTGACCCGAGAGTCCAGGTAAGTTTTTTTACTATCCAAATTTATGGGGATTTAAACCCATGACTACTAAACCACCAGGCAAGTGTGCTAGCCACTGAGCTCTTAGTGGTCTTTAACTCTTTCAGTCCCAAGGGACGCATTATACGTTCAAAGGTTCCTACTTAGAAGCATAATGAATGCAAGATGTGCCGATTTTACATCTCTCTGTACCACCACTTTGGCCTCTGATGAAGTTAGCAACAAGCACTGGGTTCATCAGCAGGCGCCCCTCTTTCTCATTATGGCATGCTTTCTTCAGTGACTTAATGAGTATGCTCAGAAAGATTTTCTGCTTCTTTGTCTTCTATAGTCACCTTTAAAAGGGTGGCTGGATACTGTGCTGTTTACAACAAGACTGGAACATATGCGCCTTCTGCCCAACACATCTGACTTCAGCCTGGTATGACATGCTTGTCATAGTTAAGTTTTGTTTTTTTGAGGCCACAGAACAACATGGGGAAAGATTGAGATAGGCGGTGATGGCTGACAAAAGTTCTGTTTCAATTTTAATCCAAGGCATGCAGGTGTAAGAGGAAATGATCAAGCTGACAGGCTGGCAGTCAAGAGTTACTATGGAAGGCAGAAAAGCAATGGACCAGGCTGATATAAAGAATGCTCTACAAGGATCAGGAAGCCTACAGAAATTAAGTGAAGACCGAATCTGCAACCAGAGTGCAAGAATAGCAAATTTTAAAAAAAGTGAGGCCAGACAAGACTGCAGTTGGCACTCCACTCTCCTCACTGTAAAAGTACAAACTTGCATCTCTTCCATGAACACAAAAGATATTAGCTGCCTCTACTCTGATATCTTTGCAACGTTAAAAAGTTCACACATTTCTGATCTCACCATACATATTCTCACTGGATACTCTTCTTCCCTCATTCTAACAGGCATTTTCATAGTCTGATGTAGGCTAACAGGCCAAATGGAAAATTAGGAACAACATTCACTAAAGATGGTAAACTGGATACGAAAATTAAAATCTAATGCATTAAAGCAAACCAATTATTGGGATAGATAGTCCCCCACATACAATGTAAGACAGTCCCAGTCAGCACAAAGAAACATCTCATACAAAGCATATTCATTCCCACCAAAAGCTACCAATGCTAGACATAGTCACTCACAACGAACTAAAAAAAAAAGAATATTAGTAACCACCAAATGAAGTCACATAAGATAAAGTCTACACAGAACCAGTATTGGACACATGGTTTGCCCACTCAGGAGAATGCCCTGTGATGCCATACCACACAAGGTTTATACCAACAGTAGAGAGGGATGGAGAGCCTAAGGAACATCAAGAACAAGATTCAAAGATGACAGCAGAGAAACTCAATGAAAGTATGATATATCTACAGCAAAGGAAGCCAGAAGAGCAAGAAGAGAACCTTGTATCTCTTCAACACAAGAAAAAGTGTTAGAGGGGAGGAAGAAGCCATGTGAAGTCCATTCTAATGCTGAAATATTACAGTGGTATCCTTTTCATCAAAGATGGATAAATAATTTAACTTGTAGGAAGTTCCTTCAGTCTCATCTTGATCCTCTTGTACCTTGCAGTGTCGAGGTGTAGTATAATTTACAAAAAAGTGTCTGTATAGTTTGCCTCTTATTCGCTTCCTTCCTGGTCTATACATTACTGCTTGCTGTAGTATACTGTCTCTGTATCTTCAAGCAGTAAAAGATTTCTCAGTATAATCAGAAAATTAATTGCCAGGTTATTTTTACATAAAGAACATAAAAAGAAAAAGAAAAAGTAAAGGACAAGATACTTGTCATGTCTTTTGGTACATCTGGCACCTAGGGCTTGACCTTTATTTTTAGAGACCAATCAGTGCTCAGTGGGTATTCTAGTCAACATCATCCCAGTCATGTTTACTTTGCAGACATTTTCTGGCATCCTTTTTAGACTGGGTTGACCCGGGAGCCAAGATCCATTTTTTTTAAATTTGCCTTGATAGTGATTTGAACCCAAGATCTTAGGATGAGCATCCATCCGCCCACTACGCTACCACAGCTCCTGGATAAACAACACAGAATATACATAGCATTATACTTACTCATTCTCATGTCTAAGGACAACAAAACCCAGCCGTCGAAGGTGAGAAAATACTTGATACTCGTCAATGCTCACATCTGATCCCAAAAACATATTGTAGGCTTCCTGGATACTCAGCGGGACTCCAAAATGGTAAACTTCTAGAGCATTCTGATGACAGCAATGAGAGCAGGTGAGTTTATTTTCAGTCACAATATTGAGTCTTTTCACAGTAAAGGTACTGTTACTACTGTTTTTCCCATGAAAATAAGACAACCAGAAAATATAAGTCCTAGCATGACTTCTAGAATGCTCTTAATATAAACCCTACCCCAAAAATAAACCCTATTTATCATCAGCCAGACAAATGAAAGTCATTTGTCAGTTGAAAATACGACAGACATATTGAACTATAAAGTAATGAATTTATCAACAGATAATATTATTCACATTATTACATTAAATAAATGTGCATTTTGGAATGAATGTAGATTTTTGTGCTTGAAAAAATTTCTATTTTTAAACTTGAATAAATGTACATATTTTTCTACATTAAACTAAAATTTAGCAAATTTAAATTAATCCATAACAATAGAAACACAAAATCATCTGCTTCATTTTATTCTAAAATTTCTGTAGTATACACCTGGCAAGCTACAGGGAAATATGCCAGGCAATAAATTGTGCAATCTATTGTTAGTGTCTCTTTTTATTTTATTTTTTTGGGTTCTTTTCTTCTTTTTCTTCTATTTTATTTATTCTCCCTGCCAGTGGTTTTCAAATAAGAAGGGAACAGCCCTAAAAGCTGTGATGTGACGCATGCCCCCACTGATCCATACAGCTTAATTTCCACCAGAACGCCAACTGGTCAGGCCCAGGACTTCTCTACTGGATGCACGAAGCATGAGCATCTAAAGCACTAATTCAGTATTTGGTGGTGCCTATCCACACAAGCAAAGTTTGAGTCTCCAATCTTGAATTTACTGTACATGTGGCTGTGAGTCTGTGGTGTCCACAAGATAAGAACAATGGTCTGTCACTTCTATGTGAGGAGGCTGATAGGTCATCAGGATTGTTCTCTGGAGGGTAACAGTTCTGGTTCAAGGAAGAAAAAGATAGTGGTGCATTTGCCTCAACTACAAGTAGTCTATCCATGAATGTGATGGCAGTAACAAAAGCAATGATGAGGCTAGAGATACATACTTTTTCCTATGCGCACTTTCTAAGTGATTCCAGGAGCATGATTAAGAAGATCGAGACAGGATGGATTCAAAAACAATGGTTGGAATCTCTAAGGAAATCACGGCTGACAGTAAACAGTTTTTCTTTTTGTGCTAGGGCTTCTGGGGTAAGAGGCAATGAACGAGGTGGTGTTGACTGGGTTCAAGATGGTGTTCTGAATGGAAAGTGTTCCAAGTTCTAATAACTGCCTTACAGTAAAACTGAAGATAGACAACAGTAAAATTAAACATCATTACTTACACATTCCATAAGAAACAAAGCCTCCTCTGGGTATAACCAATTTCGACGTTTATCAGTAAAGCCCATATGTGCCCAAAACTTACCCTGCAAAAACAGAAGATTATTATTATTATCTGACAGTCTGTAAATTTAAATATTACCCTTGAACCGCTTCTACGCTTATAAAACTTGCAAGGTAAACCGTTAAAGTTTGTTCAAGACTGTCTAAGATGGTGCCTTAGAGACATGTCAAACAGAATTGATCAGGTCTGTTCTAGTTGACACCAAGAACCTAGATCTGTAGAGACACATAAACTTCTATGATATCCACAATACACTTGATGATAATGACAATGATGATGAAGAATGCACGCTCATAACCCTGTCATCCCTGAATGCTAAAAAAATGCATCATGACTGTATAGAAATTCCCGAAAATGTTGCTGACACACTTCCGTCTTTTTAAACAGTTGTAAACTGGGCTATGGGAAGATATGGGAATCACAACCCATGACAATGGCGAGTATGACTAGCAAGCCCCTCCGGCATTAATAACCTTTTTTTTTCCACAATTAGAGCATGGGCTATCAGGACTGTTGGTGCCATCACATGTATTTAAAAAATCCTGGAGGTAAAAAAAAAAGGGGGAGGGGGGATTTAGGAAATGTTTGTTTACGCATGTCACTAAACAATTTTTAACAATTTATGTATCTTTTTCTTCTTCTTCTTCGCGTTCACTATCTGTAAACTCCGGCGGAAAGTTCTGGATATTCGCCCACCTCCGGACTTTAGTCTTGTTCCAGAACCTGAGTATTACGTGCACATCCATTTCATAGATCTGCCTCATTTGTATGCAGACTGTTGGTTCCTCAGGCAGATGCACTCCGATTTCAAAGGAAGCTCCCAATTAGTCAACTTTTATGACATGCTTTTGTGTAGGCAATGGGAAATTTATGTATCTTTATATTCTGTTTTTAAATTTGAAATATGTAAAGTTTTTTAAATGGAATAGCCAATAAACAAGCTTTAAATGGAATACATTCCCTGGAGTCTAAATGCAACAAAATGTATTGAGTGACTCACGCCATGATCCTAAACTTCTATCACTGAGGCTTAGGGGAAAATTTGAGGTAAACGACTTTATTAAAGCTATCTGGTTCACAGGAGAACACCCCTAAATGCTGTTTTTAGCTAGTATATTCATAACCTGACCTCCTGACCTCACAAAGGTGAACTCAACCAACAGCATTACTTATGCATTTTGTAAACACATCGCTGTAGTAAAGTGACATTTACAGGAAATTGGATCCAACAGGGAGTGTTGGTTTTGCAGCTTCTCTGGGCCACAGGGTTAAGAATGTTGTGTGCTAATACATGATGATGTAAATATATTTAATAGTCTATAAATAAAGCACACTAGACTGGTCAACAGCATTAATGGTAAGTTACCTTGTTTCCAGATTATGGCAACATACAGAGGAGGAGGGAGGGAGAGAAAGTGTTTTTGTGAGAGAGTGAAAGAGAGGGAGACAGAGAGTGTGTGTGTATGTGTGCATGCATTTATGTGTGTGAAAGAGAGAAAACAGTTTGTGTATGTATGAGAGAGAGAGAGAAAGAGAGAGAGAGAGAGAGAGAGAAAGTGAGTGTCTGTGACAGACAGAGAGATAGAGGTAGTGAGCATGTCACAGAGAGACAGAGAGGCAAAGAGAGAGAGAGAGAGAGAGAGAGAGAGAGAGAGAGAGAGAGAGAGAGAGATAGAGAGAGAAAGCTTCAGAATGAAACAGACAGACACAAATTGTTTCTCAGTTTAAAATCAACTATACAAATGGATCATGGACAAACAAAACAAATGTCAGCTCAATGATACACACATATAAAGTCAAACTCACAGTTTTTTTCACGTTGACTAGCCTCTTACTACCATCCCAAGTTCCTTCAACTAAATTTCTCCTTGGGAAGACATTAGATACAATTATTCACAAAGCCAAATTTCTAAAAGCATAAGAAAATACCAGTTTGGTTTACTGTGTTGTGAATGTGTTCAGTTGTATTAGTATGAAGTAGGGCTGTACCAAATAGTGGTTTTCACTATTCGGCCGAATACGAATAGTGGGACCAACTATTCGGCCGAATATGAATACGAATAGTGTATCATCATCATCAGGTGCCTCGCCGACTGGTGTGGCGATTTTGCCTCGCCACAATCTGCGATCTCCTGCAGCATGTATCAGTTTGTGTGCTGACACACCTCCATGACATGCAACGACTGTCAAGAATCTTCTCTCGTTGTCTTTTTCTATCTCTCCTTCCACAAATCTTTCCAGTGGTCACCACATGTTCCATTTTCACTCTTTCTATACGATGGCCGAAAAATTATGACTGTCTTCTTCTGATGTCTGCGATTAGTTGTCTTCGGGCTCCCGCCTCTTTCAAAACCTAGTGGTTGCTTTTTTTTAAGCTGTCCAATGTATTTTAAGCATTGTTCTGTAAAACCACATCTCTGAGGCCTCAAAAAATTGTTTGGCCTGGCTACCGATTGTCCATATGTTAAAACTGGATGTATGTAGCAAGCAAGACAACGATATATTGCACAAGATGTTCTTTTTTTTTTAATATAAAATTCAGTTTTTGCCTGTCTTATTTTGTTTTTTATTTTAGTAATGCATCTTTCATCTGATTTTATCCATGTGCCAAATTCGCATTTAAATCATTTTTTGTTCAGGCGTTCGTTCGATGTAATTTAAATGCACCACCATATTCTCGTTTGCAATATCTTCAATTTGATTTGGGAAAAGACACCCCAAAAGAACAAAAAAATGCATGCTCTCTCTTTGTCTCTCTCTCTCTTTCTCTCTCTCTCTCTCACACACACACACACACCCCCAGATACACTTTCAAGTTTCTTCATGCCTTTTTTAACACAACAGTAGCGATGCCTAAATCTTTCGTAGCGGGAAAAACAGCGACCCGTTTTCGCGGTAACAGCGCCTGACTCCGAGGCATTACAGCAGAGGTTCTAAAACTGGGTGCGTTTGACAGGGGTGCCGCGGCGAAAATCAAGAAAAGTCGGCTATAAATTGTGACATTATTAATGAGAGAGTTATTTTAGTCCATCACAGTGTATGCAGAAATCACTATTCGTATTCGGCCCGACCGCCACTATTCGGCCGAATACCGAATAGCTAGTAGGTCCACTATTCGGCCCCGAAGCGAATACAAAGCGAATATTCGGTACAGCCCTAGTATGAAGTGAAGAGACTTGTCCATGCCCTAAGGCCTACTGGGTATATAGTGCTCGACCTATATTTTATAGACCAATCTGCATTCGATGGGCGATGTGGTCAATATTTTGCTGACCACCTTTACTTCCCACAACTTTACCTGGTACCCATTTCAGGCTGAGTTAATCGTGGAGCATTGTTTGAATTCAAATCAGACTCAATGCCGATTTTAACCCATGGCCTTCACACCTGCATGCAGCACCCAGCTACTACACCACAGCTGTATTGCTTGCACTTTTTTTGCTTACGCACACAAATTTATATATATATATATAGTTGAGTCAAGAATTGACATCATAGAACTCGGGGCATTCCCATGCGTGCTTCATATATATATAGTTGAGTTGAGTCAAGAATTGACATCACAGCACTCGGGGCATTCCCATGCGTGCTCAATATATATATATATATATATATGTATATATATATTAAATAGACTACAGATTGCCTAACAGAGAAGAATAGGTGTTACTCAACTGGGTTTGTTTAACAGAAATGAAATTTGATCTATTGACATGTTTTTTTAGTAAATTGCATGTGCACTATACATATATATAGTAACACCTATTCTTCTCTGTTAGGCAATCTGTAGTCTATTTAATATATATACACATACTTCTAAGCTATTAATTACACACAAAAAAGGAGCCTATTTGCCCAATGACACAATGGGCCTATGATTCTAGAATCATATTTGTACAGATTAAAACAGCACTCATGAGTGACATGGTCAACATCAATATCAGCCGCCTTTACTTCCCAGGACAATGCCCAGTACACATTTTAGGCTGTGCTTACTTGGGAGCCAGGGTCCATTTTGGAAAACATCTGTTGCCGTGTTGACTTGAACCCAGGACCTTCAGGCTGGCAGATGAGTATCTGGCCACTACACTAATACTGCTCCTATACTATCAATAACCACAGGTACATGACACATTTTTACTGGTCAAACAAAGTAGCAGCAAATCAAATGGTTTGATTTTTTAGAGAACCCCTTGTGACACCACAACATACAAGGTATACACTAACAGAGGATAAGGACACAGAGCACAAGGCAGACCAAGAACGTCTACTTCTTCATGTTCAAATGCTGCATACTCCAGCAGAACGGTCTAGGTGTTCGCTGCTCCATAACTTCAGATAAATATCTATTCCACAAACTGTTCCATAACTTCAGATAAATATATATTTCTCAAACTGTTCCATAACTTCAGATAAATTTATATTTCTTAAACTGTTCCATAACTTCAGATAAATTTCTATTTCTCAAACTGTTCCATAACTTCAGATAAATATCTATTTCTCAAACTGTTCCATAACTTCAGATAAATTTATATTTCTCAAACTGCTCCATAACTTCAGGTAAATATCTATTTCTCAAACTGCTCCATAACTTCAGGTAAATATCTGTTTCTTCAACTGTCCCATAACTTCAGGTAAATATCTGTTTCTTCAACTGTCCCATAATTATATACAGCATAAATACCTACAGTAAAGTACTGTCATAACTATGATGCAGAAGTTCAATTTATTAAAATAGCAGCAGAAAAACTTAAATATATGTCATATTTCACAACCCGCAGTATTTCAGACAGATGCAAGAGCGGTGTTTCAGGCACTCCAATCTGGAAAAATACCTGGTATATGAACAATACTCTCCAAATTATGCATCCGATGTAAGGTAATTATGCAATGGACAACATGTGGAGTTCCTGGAAATGAAAGAGCTGATAAACTATCTAAAGAAGGTGCAAATGAAGAACAACCTGACGTACCAGTCTCTTATCAGCAAAAGAAGAAAATAATCAAATCAATCAGAAAGCCACCAAAACTGGCACAAGATGATTACCATTTTATGGACAGACCAGAGCAAGTTATTATTCTACACCTTAGAACACGACACAATTGACTTCGCAGCCATATGTACACACAATTTAAAATTGACGAATCAGCCATGTGCACATGTGGACTGGCAGTTGAGACAATAGATCATGTCCTCCAAGATTGTCCCAAATACAACATATCAAGGCAAAACTTTAGGTGAAAAGAAACATTGGTGCAAGTCAAACTTTACGGGTCGCTGAGTGAATAACAAAAGACAGTGAAGTTCATACTAGAGACAACATTGCAGACATAGATAATTTATCTTATTTATTATGTCCCATAATTCAGGTAAATATTTATTTCTGAAACTGTCACATAACTTCAGGTAAATGTCTATTTCATGCCTGCTAAACAAATGTAAATATATAAAACTAGTCCGTATAACATTATCTGCAAAACACATCTTACAGTTTCTCCACTCGAGCTTCAGACAGGACAGAAGATCTTTCTTCCCTAAACTTCTCTAAAGCTTTATTTTGCAGCCAAGAATCATCGGGTTCAAAATCTTTCTGTCCACCTCTTGAAGGAATAGTTCTATTTCGCTTCCCACGATATTTAAAAAGATCCTTTGCACTGTAACAAAGCAAAAGTATGAAAAATAAACATAAAAATAAGTTTTATAAAACCAGCCACATCTTGAAAAGACAACTTATGAGACTTTTGGTCACATAATGAATGTCTCCAGTTGGTATCAATTATTACTGATTAATTAACTGTGGATAGCCACGGTAGCATATGGGCTAGACATTCACCTCATGGGCTGAAGGTCTAAGGTTCAAATCCACATTCAAGTGGATTTTGTTTTTCAAACTTGACCTTGGCTTTCAGATCAATCCAGCCTAAAGTGGGTCCCAGATAATGTTCTGGGAAGTACAGATGACTGGTGTGATGCTGACCACATCACCCATCAAGAGCTGATTAAAAGGACTTTTCTTCCACACCTTCAGATGTATTGGGCATAAAGGGCTAGACCTATATTTTTAAGACCAATCGGCACTCTGCGGGTGATGTGGTCAACACCATGCCAGCCGCCTTTACTTTCCAGGACTCTAACTGGTACCCATTATAATGATGGGTCAACCTAGAAGTCAAGGTTACTTTACTTTTTTTAAAAGTTTTCCTCTGTCGGGACCTAAAACTCACAACCTTTGGATCCGCAGGAGAGCGTATCAAGGGTTGATTGATCAATAAAATATATGTATATCATTATATGCCCAAGGTAATATGATGTTGAGCTTTTATATGTTTTCTTTAAAAGAAATAATTACAAGGTCCGACAATTAAGTAATGAGACTAATTCCATACAAATTAAAATAATCAACAGTTGAAGATATAACCTGTATTTTATTCAAAGTAAGCCCCTTGTGCATTAATACAGCAAGTGGCACGACTAACAAACACTGGAACGACCTCTGTAGTTTTTCTGTTGCTATGACCCTTAAAGTCGATGATACGGCCCTTTAGGTGTCATCAAAATCGTTTAAAAAGCGTCCTTTCAATCGAAACTTTAATTTTGGGAATAGAAAAAAATCACAGGTAGACAAATCTGGGAAATAGGGTAGAAGGCTGAGAATACACGCTTGTTTTGGGGCAAAATTCTTGTTTTGATGATGTCTCTTGGGTACTCAACCCGCTGATGTTTTTTGGTCATCAAACAACGAATGTGGTACAAACCAGCAAGCAACTTTTTTTCTTGCCAAAATCTTGAACTAAAATTTTATGAATGGTCACTCTATTACCACCAGATTCATCTGCCATCACCTTAACAGTAAAACAACGATCTTTTTGTATCCGTTCTTTGACTTTTGCAATGAGTTCATCATTACGAACAGAAATTTGGCGTTCAGGTCTAGGTGCATTAGTAATCATTTCTACACCACTTTTGAATTGTGAATACCACCTGAAAATTTGTGCACGAGATAAACAATTATCCCCATAAACTTATTGAATCAGTTCAACTGTTTCAATGGCACTTTTTCTGGGTTTTAAAAAGAATTTAATGCTTTTTGCTCCGTGCTGATTACGTAACAATGCATCTCTGACTAAGTCAACAAAATGGCGGCTTGTCTGTTGTTTGCTTATCAAGCGGTGATGAAAAGTTGCCAGATCATAGGTGAATGTTGTCTCTTTAGATTTCATGCATTGCTTTATATATGACATTTTTGTCTTGGCCATAATAAAATCAGTCTCATTACTTAATTGTCGGACCTTGTACGAATGGGCTATCTTCCGAATAACGGTCCTAAATTATCGAGGCCGAAAATATACCCTAACAGGGCCTCAGTCACGTGTCATTTTCAGCGACTACAGCCACTGCCGAGAGAATCTCCCACGCTGCTATGCACGGCGTGGACTGGGGCTAAACTAGACTGGGACTCACAAGCAGCAAATAAAATGAAGGAAGCTGCAGGAGATGCGGTAGCTGCTGCTCGTGAGTCCCAGCCATCTAGTTTAGCCGCACTAAGCGTCATGGGAGATACTCTTGGCAGTGGTCGCCGGAAGTGCGCAATTTAAGTCGCAGGAAGACCACAACTGACATGTGACTGAGGCCCTGTTAAGGTATATTTTCAGACCTCGATAATTTGGGACCTGTGACGTGCGTAAGCTTGGGCCTACGGTGTGACGTGCTGTAAAGGCTGCGTGGTGATGTGTGGCGTACCAAAGGTGACTAGGGGTGTCGCAATGTAACAAATGGCATCAACACTTAACATGCCACTGGCCAAGAGTAACACAACATGATGAATGCTGAAGCTTCCAAACGTAGCGGAACGAGAACTCTCTTTAAAAGTTCCATTTGTGTATTGACAAATAGCAATGATTAACACAAGGAGAAAATATGTAATTAATAATCTAGACTCATTCAAGCACATCAACAAAAGCCCGCTCGTACATCAGTCCGACCTTGAGATCCAGACAGTAATCTTTGTATTCGATTCCGCAGTCTGAATTAAGTAATGGAAGTATACCGGCTTACTGCCGAACTGTGACAATATACCAGCTTTCTGCTGAAGTCTACAGTGGAGTCCCGGGGTAAAACGTCCTCAAGGATCCAACTGTATACAACGTCTGCTTCCGTGGAGTCCCGGGGTAAAGCGTCCTCAAGGATCCACACGTCCGTCTCCTTCAGAATGTCAACATCAACTCTTACCATGGCATCCAGGGGTAAAGCATCCTCAAGGATCCAACTTGATTATCATTCCTTCAGTGGCATCCCGGGGTAAAGCATCCTCAAGGATCCAACTGATTAACATTCCTTCCGTGGCATCCCGGGGTAAAGCATCCTCAAGGATCCACACCAAGGCCGGACCAACCGTCCACCTTGGTCAAACTTCGACTTTCATCTCCTAGAATACAATTCTTTCACAACCTGACGTATTGTTTTGACGTCTTATTTGCTCACTCAATACTGGTGCTTTCTGGTGCAAATCGGCACGCTACAGGACCGTTATTCGGAAGATAGCCTATGAATGTTATTACTACAATATTATATAATACAATCCATCTTAATCTAAGAATGCTGTTGACTTTATCCAAAAAAAAAAAGTTTTGGCCAACTAGTTTTTCTGAACTGAAAAACTGACCATACAACTTCTTCTTCTTCTTTCTGGATGTTCGTCAATTTGGACTTTGGCTTTGTGCCAGGACCTGAGTTTTGTGTGTATATCAATTTTACTAGCTTATGTGTGAACAGTTAGTTGTTCCTCGCCGCTCGAGAAGATGCGCTCCAACTTCGAAGGAAGTCCCCAATTTGTCGACTCTACAACATGCTTGTTGGGGAGAGAGTGGGTTTATTCTTATTTTCCCAACAGTGGGACCCCGGAACCTACAGGTGAACTGACCTTATTGATTCACTGATTTAAGAATGAACATCATTAATACACCAGGCATACCAATAGATGCTCTGTCTCCTGCAGCAAATATCTTAGGGTGTATATGCTGTCCCCGTAGCACACTGAAAATACACACACCATTCTTTTCCTATCATATGTCCCTCCTTTCTGGATCCACACCGAATCCTCATTTTATCAAAACTTGTGTCTTCTATCGGCATTCAATCATAAACGGTTTTCAGAATGTCTCCTTTGTCTTTCATTTCTTTGCATGTCCCAGAAAGTATATCCAAATAAGTCCCTGTAATGCCGATATGCTGATACTTGGTATCCACTCATGCCATATTTATCCATTTTGGACCTTTTGCAGTACTGATTCTGAAGCTAAACCCTCTGGGACTGAAATAGTTCAGCAGCGACAATGTGTACATAAGGATAATTCTATTTCTCTCATGCTGAAGAGTTAATTAATAACAGACCATCAGTCTGGAGAGAATAGTGTTGCAGGGAGTGAAACAAATTATTAATATTTTCAACCAGAATATGGGCTTAGACACTTTAATTAGGTAAATTTTAACTGCAATATGCTACCTAGCTGACAGTTAAATCCATGCCGTTTGGTGTTGGTAGTCATGCCATGTCGATCTATAACTTTCCGACTAATGTACTTTCAATCACATCTGACACAGATGATGATGTTCGATGCCATGTCAACAATGGTTCAAACTGTCCAGCATCTTCTCTCTCGGTCTAACTCTTCCTCTCTTCCCCTCAAGCTTTCCTACTCTCATGATGTACTCATGTTTTAACTTTCTCATTTTATGACCAAAGAATGCAGATTATCTCTTTCCTTTCTGATGTGGGCAAAGCAATCAGTTCTCTTCGTGAGTTAGTTTTCTTCCAAAAGCAGTAAGTGAATGTTTCCATATTCATTATTACTTATAAAACCGCTACAGCTGGATAGCCATTTAAAATATTGTTCCAAAGCTACTTCGTTCATGCCTTTATGTTAATTCTAATATTCGGATTTGGGTTACTTTTTTTAATCTTATTTTTAACTTGAATTTATCCTGAAGTGAAGGCAAGTGAAACATTACATTTCATTACACAACAAAAATCTATGCGTGACGATCAACGATGTACTCTGTATTACCTTTTCAGTATTAAAAAATTACGAAAATCATAAAAGTATTTTACGGTTTACCTCAAAACAAAATCTTTCGTCAAATCGTAAAAAGACATTTTCGATTTAAAATGTAGTCACAACGATGTAGGCTCTCAGTTAAGCTTTCCCTCAAATGGGCGCAGCCATCTTTAAAATGGGTTACAGTTCTGTTCGACGTTTTCGCTGCTGGGGCTGATTAAATGTATAAATGAAGAATTGACTTAACTACACTCGGGACATTCCCAGTGTCAGTTACATTCTGATTAAAAGTTCGCAAGGTTTTCACCTCAGTGTTCAAAATCGCCCGAAACCCTTTCTCACCACCCTCTGAAACAGTCTTTTGAGGTATGGGGAATCTGTTTTTGTTGCACTATCATAGAAAAAAAAAGTAAAGTAAAAGACCCTTTAGGTGTATAGGGCATATAGGGCTAGACCTATATTTTTATAGACCAATCGGCACAAGATGGGTGATGTGGTCAGTATCACGCTGGCCTCCTTCACTTTCCCGGGACTGCACCCTATACCCACTCAAGGCTGGGTCGACCTGGGAGCCAAGGTCATTTTTTAAAAAAGTTCTGCTCCTCCAGGGAGCGAACCGACGACCTTCCGATCCGCAGCTAGCATCTAGCCGCTTGGCCATGCGACTACCACTATCCTAGAGAGTCGTCACCTATTTTCCTTTATTATAAAATAGTTCACTACTCCCAATATGGGTTCCGGGGACCCATTGTGGAGAAAACAAGAACAGACTGACTGCTTCCCCCAACAAGCTTGGACATCGCAACCCTTCGACCTTGATTTTTTTATAGATACGGTAAATCTGGGAAATATCTGACTTTTCTGCCTACCCCGAGCGTAAACTCGGACCACAGGAGTCATATGTGTAAAACGGATGTGCATGATTCTGGGAAAAGACTAAAGTACTGAGGTGGACGAATTTTCCCCGGAGTTTACAACCGGTGAAGAAGATATCTCATTACCCAGAGAAGCGACAGTAGCCAGTCTATCGGTTTGCTTATTACCCTGCACACCCCAATACCATGGACAGAAAATCCACAATACTCTCTCGATATGTCTTTTCAATCGACGTAAGCCACTCTAAGCTCCAGCTTCTATTTGCCTAATCATGCTCTGCGAGTCCGTAAGAATTACAACATGTCGAGCTGTGCTGTTCTCAAGCCATCGGAAAGCTGCCGTTATTGCATCCAGGTGCATCCTCAAACTGGATGTTTTGACATTATATGTGAGGTTATCTGTTTTCAAATATAGTTTATCTCTCTTTAAAAAAAAAAAACCATCACCTCTTTTTATCTCTCACTCATCATCATGTAGCAGGTCCTTTGCAGGGCGTCGCTCTCATCACGGTCTGCCTGAAAGAAACTCGGTCTCTCGCCAGCTCTCCTGCCTCATGTACTTTCATACTTAAAAAGTTACTTACATCCTTTGCCCATCTTCGTGTTGGTCGGCGCCTTCCCTCCTTCCTGGTACCATGCCTCCTGCTATTATTTTTTCCAATCTGACGTGGCGCCTGAAATGACCAAAATATTTTAGCTTCCAAGACAGGATGCTGTTTATTAGACAATCTTCCTTGATTTTCAGATCATTCAAGATGTCAGTATTTCTCCTCTTCTTTGTCCAAGATACTCTGATAATCTTTTTATAGCATTTCAGCTCAAAAGCCCCTATTCTCTTTTTAAAAGACTCTCTGAACACGACACACACACACATCGTGATTGTAACTGATCCAGAAAGCATGCTGAGGAAGATCAGAACAGGTATGCTTCGTGCAGAGTGGCATGCTTCGCTGGAGGACACGAGTGAGGAGTATTGTCTGGATTTTTTTTCACCGGGTTATACAGGTGTGTTGGGAAATGAATATGCGGACGGACTGGCTGGTTCTGCACAACTTGGTGGAATACTGCTGCATGATAGGGCAGGCGTGGTTAGTGCCTTGTGGGAGAGCGTGTACAATTCGGAGGAGCAGATGGATCACCACAGTCTGGTGAGATTGATGCAGCGGGGAGTGACGAGAGGTTCTGGCAGACGCTCGAGGCTCAGATGAAAGGCAAGACGGACGTTTAATCAGAATGCTACTGGGACCATTAGTGTCGGAACTCTTCGCTGGCTGCTGGAGATGGGAGCGAGCGCTTATGGGAAAGCCCCGAGTGCTGCGATGTCAGTTCTTGAATCAAATCAAATTAAAGACTCTCTCACTACAGATCCATATAATGATGTCATCTGGACGTGTTTTCACTGAAAAACTGTTACACTGATGCCTCTGATCCCCAGCTATCCACCCGGATCTTCTAATCACTGTCACCAGTCTCGTCACCAATCTCATCATCATTGTCATCATCCTTATCAGCTTATGAATCTAAAAGTGATCATTTGTATATTAACACTTAACCTGTTATGTTCATGGAGGTGTATCGATAGAAGCACCAGCACTTAAAACCCGCCATCCTTCTATATCTCTGCTTGTTGAATAAGTGTTCAGTAGAACTTGGCTTAACGAGCATAATTCGTTCCAGAATCAAACTCGTTAAGCGAAACACTAGTTATGCGAAACAATTTTTCTCATATAGATTAATGTAAAATACAATAATGCGTCCATGTCAAAAAAAAAAAAAAATACAAAGGGCTATGTATAAGGTTTATTCAAAGAAAATTTTATACACATTGTTAAGAAGAGTGAATCATCTACATCTTTTCTTCAAACGTGGAACGAACTCACTTGAAATGCGAATTTGATTTGCAAAAAAAAAAAAAAAAAAATGTCCAGAGACATTTGTTTTTTGCCGACGCTTCAAAATTTTGCGAAAATGCGACACAGCATTATCAAGTAAATTTGCAACGCGCATAGCCACTTCCTTATTAAGGTGATGCTTCTCAATGTAAGATGCAACTGTTTGCCATGCTTTGAGCACGTCTCTTATTTCGCCAGAAGATTGTTGCTTTTCTGTTACCTCCTCCTCTCCCTTTGACAAACTTTTCCTCCAAAACTTGTTGCTGTGAAACACCATGCAACATGATAAGCTCTTGTGTGGTCAGTTCTTGGCTGTGCTCTTCCACAAGCTCTTCGATATCACTGTTATCCAACTACAATCCCATGATAGTGGCCAAAGACACAATGTCGTTGACTACAGGTTCCACTGGTACTGTCTCGAACCCCTCAGTCACAAATCGACAACGCTCTCCGGCCAAAGCTTCTTCCAAGCAGAAGTTAGGGTTCTCTTGGTAACCCCTTTACCCGCCTTGTCGATCATCTTGAGGCAGGCAACGATGTAGAAGTGATTTTTTCCAATAAAACAATGCTCAAAGATTGCTATAGTGTAGAGCTTCTTTAAGTTAGAAATAACTTGCTGGTCAATGGGCTGGAGAAACGGAGTGGTGTTGGGAGGCAGAAACCGGATCTTGATGAACTCAAATTCTTCAGAGAGGTCATCTTGTAGACCTGGAGGCTTCATGTACATACATCACAATATAACACAAGTTTGAGAAAATGCGTGATCACTAGCGACACTACGATGCTATTGGAACGAGTGCTGAACACAGACTGATGTAACATGCGCACAATGCGGGACTTCCCCTCTACTAGGCACTCGTTATGCGAAACGTCGCTCGTTAAGCAAGTCATTTTTTTTTTTACAATTGGTTTTGCTCGTTATGCGAATTACTCGTTATCGTTATGAGAGGTGTTCGTTAAGCGAGGTTCTACTGTATAATAATTTAGTTCTGTCTTTTTCCTTATGTTGTCCATCCAGGTTCCCCCCCCCCACCCACCTCCCTCTTCTTCGACTACCCCCCCCCCCCCCCTTTCCACCAGTTTTGCTTGAAGTATAGTCATTGCAATAGAACCATGTCTCACCGTGTGCCCGAACCAAACTAGCTTTCATTACTGCAAGAAAAGGCTCCAGAACTCATACTGATTTGTTTTTCTCATTGTGTTTTTGTTAGTTTAATGTTCTAAATAGTTCATTCCTCCATCATACATTTCAGTGGGTTAAAGCAAAGTAAATGACCCTTTTCCACGCATTTAGGCGTATAGGGCATATAGGGCTAGACCTATATTTTTATAGACCAATCGGCACAAGATGGGTGATGTGGTCAGCATCACGCCAATTCATTGGGTACTATTCAATATACAAAACCAGAACATCAGACAATTTGCATTACTAAAATATTTCCAAGACTCCTTCAGTCAAATATATAATATGTAGAGTAACAAACATGGTATGCCAGGAATGTAATTTGGTGGACATATTGTTAACAACCTGTGATATGCTGACGATCTAGTTTTGACTGACTCTCCAAAATGCAATTTCAAAGTGAGTGTGACCAACCATAAGCAAGTTGATAAGTTGAAGTACTTGGGTACCCTGATAACATCAGATGGAAGATGTATTAAGGAAGTAAACTATAGAATAGATCAAGCAAAGGCAGCATTTTGCAAAATAAAGAATATTTTATGCAATCTTTTTTGTCAATTGAGACGAGAAAGATCATTCTTTAAATCTAAATAAATCCTATATTGATATACGGAAGTGAAACATGGACAGATGGTAAATTAGTGAAAACTTATTTGGAAGCTGCGGAGATTTGGTTTTATAGACGAATTATAAGAATACCCTGGACAGATAAAACGACTAATGAAGACGTCTTGAAAGAAACTAACTCACGAAGAGAACCTATCGCTCACATCAGAAAGAGGCAATATACATTCTTTGGTCATGTGATGAGAAGAAGAAGACTGGCGCACATCGTGACAGTAGGAAAGTTGTAGTGAAGGAGAGGCAGAGGGAGACAGAGAGAAAATATGGTGCACAGTTTGACATCATGGCATGGAGGATCATATGTGTCAGAGTTGATTAAAAGTACACGAGACAGAAGGTTGTGGATGTCTGTAGAGATACCGTGGAGTAGCTGATGCATCAGAAGACTGAGGACGCACAGGAATACTCAATACTGAGTGATTTGATTAAAAAAAAAAATAACATGACATAACCAAGGTACAGGAATGCTAAAGATGCTCGTTTCTACCTCAAATGTTGTTTTCTTTCGTTTCCTGCGGTTTCTATGAATAGATCCAAGCTTTTATTATGAGTACATGCGCAACCATTTGTGTACAAAATAACATGGCGGAATGTCAGGTTTTGGCATCTGCAAGTAACTTCACTCGATTTTGATGACGAGTTTGTAGTGCTTCGTAAAGCATGATTTGCTGGGTAGTTTACAGAAATGGATAGTGAGTGTTCGCTTCTTCAAACTTCTTGGATAAGTTTTGAAAATCATAATCTTCAAGTTCATGTTTGAATCGAACTTGGAGACGAAGTTTTTCTCAGTAGTAAATGAATGAATGAATGGGCTGGGAACAGAAAAGAGTGTGGTCATATAGGTACTTTAGTCAAATTTTCAAAATGCCCTCTACACCAATAAAACCAGCACAGTTAGATAGCTGTAAACAATCTCTTTCCAACGGTACCTCATTTAGGCTTGTATGTCATTTCTGAGCTGAGATATGAAGGTTTTTGTGGAGATGAGATGTAAAAAACCTGTTGAAAACTAAACTTGCGTCCCAGAAACAAGAAGTTTTCTCTGCGCAACCAAACTGTGCACTTCTGTTTTGGCTTTGTTTACATTGGACTGTCATTGGACAAGATGGCAGACAATGAGACACAGCCACATAATAGCAATTGCCTGAAAAATGTCACTGTAAATCTAAAAAGCCACTCATAAGAAAGAAATTTTATATACAAATGTAAAATTGGACGGAGAATTCAATTATAACTAGCATTACCAGGACGAGTAATGTTAAAGCCTAAAGCCAACCTTGAATACTTACCGCTATTTTCACAGCCACATAATAATGATAATAGCGATTGCCTGAAAAATGTCACTGTAAATCTAACAAGCCACTGATAAGAAGAAATTTTATTTACAAATGTAAAATTGGATGGAGAATTCAATTATAACTAGCATTACCAGTACGAGTAATGTTAAAGCCTAAAGCCAGCCTTGAATACTTACCGCTATTTTTAATCAAACTGATGTAACAGAAAAACAGAGGACGTCCGGCTGTCGTAGACATGCGCTGTTAATCGGGTTCGTTTCCGCCGTTTTCAGCTATTTATAGCTGGTGAAAATCACACCAATCACAAAATTTCATGAGAGATTAGGACCCATCCCCAAACCAGCCGACATTTCCTAAACAAGTTTTGAACGGTTTCCATGGTAACGGAAATTGCCAAAAGACCGCAAATTGCTGAACACCGTAGTCGCTAGGTCATGTTAAGAAGATTTAAATAATCTTAACTTGAACTGCTTCAGGCGCTGAGACGGGAGCAGAGATAAAAACTTGCAACACATGTTTTTTTTTTTTTTCTTATTATAATTAACTACATACAATGTAACATTCCCGACAATTTTCTGACTTCTACCTTTACTTTTCATCTGTATTGTTATTTTAAAAGAAGTCTTGAAGCCCCACTGAAAATTATATAACTTTTAACAAACCCTTGTGTGGCTTCTTCTTCTTCTCAAAGTCCATGCATTGGTAGTCATGTCTATCCACAACCTTTTGTCTCGTATACTTCCAATCAAATCTGACACAGATGATCCTTTACACCATGATGTCAGACTGTCTAGTCCAGCATCTTTTTTCTCTGTCTCCCTCTGCCTCTCCTTCCCTACAACTTTTCTGCTGTCACTGTCATGAAGTACTCCAGTTTTCTCCAGTTTCTTTCAAGACATCCTCATTACTCCAGCATATTCTCATCACCGGCCAGAGTAACTAACAACAATTGCTTGAAAGAAGCTAATAAAAGTAGATCTCTATATACAACTATAAGAAAGAGACAAACACTGTGATTGGCTTTCTCTTTCCAGCTGGTGACTCAAGTGTTTGTAGGTCTATCTGTATATTATCTCTCCACTGTCTTCTTAATCTGCCTCATGGTCTTCTCCCATTCAACTCTTTAGTGTACACAGTTTTTGTTTCTCTGTTATCTGTCATTCTCTCCATATGCCTCAAGCAATACAGTCTATTAGCCCTCATGATGCCAGTAATTAATGGTATTGCCTATATACTAGCATGACTTTTCTCACACTTTACAACCACTGTGTTACTGGAACTTTCAGCTTCTACATCTGAAAGATATTTGAATGGGAGAGGGGAGGCGTGGGGCAGAGTATGTCTGTGTGTATACCCAGTATGTCAAAATGTTGATTCTTAAGTCAGCAATCAGTTGATTCTCTGCTTCCTCCATTCTTATTGTTTAGATTCAAATGGCAGGAGAAAATGGAGCAACGCAGAACCCAACATTCAGGTTCCTTTAAATGTAAGTATAAAACTTTTTTAAAAATTCTTTTATGTTCATTTGTTGATGGAATGCTAGCTGAAGATACAGTGTTACATGAAAATGGTGCATCTAGTTACTGCCTGTGTGGGTTCCAGGGCCCCAATGTGGGGAAAAAGAGAATAGACCCAATGCTTCCCCAACAAGCACGTCGTAGAAGTCATATAATTTGGAATTTCCTTCGAGGTCAGAGTGCATCTACCCGAGTGGCAAGGAACAACTACCTGCACATGCATAAGCCAATCAAATGGACGTAGATGCAGAACTTGGGCTCTGGCATAAAGCCAGAATCTGAAAGGACAAACAACTAGAACTTTCCACCAGAGCTTACAGCTGGTGAACAAAGAAAAAGAATCAGTTACTTTAGATATTACTAAACGGTTATATTGCACTTGTTCTGCTGTATGGCAGTGAGTCTTGGAATGTCAAGAACCTACAGGGGTGGCCAAAAGTTTAGGACCACCTAGTAAATGATTGACATGTTATTATGGGTATTTCATCAACTGATATTTTAGAGCAAAATAATGACTGCAATGATCGCTTTTGATGTGCCCCAAAATAGCAGTAGATGCAATACAGCATAACAGAATGGAAAAAATGTAATATTTACTAGGTGGTTAACCTTTGGTCATCACTGTGTTATGAAGAGTTTGAAGGCAACAGAAGTGTTTCTGAGATGAATGTTTTGAATAACCAGGACAAGCAGAGTAAAAAACAATGATTTCTTAGAAAAGACTTATGAAAGTAGAATATTTTATACAGTTAAAAGAAAGTAAAAGAAAGAGACCGTGCTCTTTGGTCATTCAAAAAGGAGGCACTGGAGAACGTTTTGATGACTAGAGGGATCAGTGGTAGACAAAACAAAGACAATACCTGGCAAAATGGAGACCCGGATATAAAAACAAAATTTCTCTTTATACTTTTATATTTCTGAACTGCATTATTTACTGACTAATTGAAATACTTCTGTCTTAGTTAACAATATAATAATGTCGTGAGGACTGATTCATTGTATGTTTTTTTTAATCTAGGTACCCATATTTTATTGTTTTTCATCATTATCATGTGCCTTGCACTGGTGTAGGTGTTCATGCTTGTCCACAGATCTTGGTCCCTTGTCCTCTGGATCAGTTCCACCGATGATATTCCTCTGTGCCACCCTCCCAGTCCATCCGTCGTCATCTCTCTCAGTCTGCCTCTTCCTCCTCTACTGTTGATCTTCCAAGTTGTCATAGTAATTTTCAAAGCCTGCAACCTCATCACATGACCAGCGAACAGTGCTTTTCTTTTTTTTATAGCAGTATATATAGAAAGCTTTTGACAGGGTCGATAGACAAAACTTTTAGAAAATAATGGCTCGATATGGAGTAAGTGCACACCTCATTGAAGTTTGCAAAAGCTTATATTAAGCGATTGTAGAAGCATAGTTAGAATAAATCAGGGAACATCTAAACCATTCAAATTAACATCTGGAAAAAGACAGGTTTGTGTCTTATCATCACTCCTGTTTATCACCTACATTAACAGTATAAGCAAGGATGTCAGGCCCAGGAACGGAAATAATAGTAACTTCAATGAATTACTCTTTGCTGATGACCAGGCCTTGATGGCAGATACAGCCTTGAATGTGCAACAGCATGAATGAAGAATGTAAATCAAATAATATGAGAATCAACATCGAAAAGACAGAAATAATGTCAATAGGAAGAAAGAAGGATTTAAACATAGCATTAGAGCATACATATATTAAACAGCCATCTGAATTTAAATATCTTGGAACAACATTCATTGAATTTGGTAAATTGGATGAAGAAATTGACATCTGATGCAGTAAAGCTGGCCAAGTACTGGGACAGCTAGCGCCCTCTTACAGCATAAGGCAATCCCAATCAGCACAAAAAGACATCTCATAAACAGACATGGTCACTCACAACAAAACATTAAAGAAAATTAATAACTAACCATGGAAATGAGGTGTCTGAGAAAGACTGAAGGAGTGACCAGAAGAGATAAAATCAGGAATGAGGTCATACAAGATAAAGTTGGCACAGAACAAATTCTAAATTACATACAAAGACAGCAAACCAAATGGTTTGTCCACTTGAAGAGTATATCTTCCGATGCTATACCATACATGGCATATACCAAAAAAAGGAGAGGTACGTAGAGCAAGAGGTAGACCAAAAACAAGATGGAAAAATAACATCAGAGAAACTCTAAAGCACCACGTTGTGTCTATGGTTGAAGCAGCCAGAAGACCACAAAGCAGGATTGTATATCCCTCTCGACACCTGAAGCGGTAAAAGAGGATGTAAAGAAGAAGTATATATTGATCTGGGCTTACAGGATAAGAAAGGTACTTATCAGCGAGTTGATGTTTGCAGATGATGCAGCAGTGACCACCCACTCAGAGGAGGAGCTGCAAGGTTTACTGACTGCATTTGCTGATGCATGCTGTGAGTTTGGACTACACAATCAGCAAATAGAAGACAAACGTTATGGTGCAAGGTGTTAATTTTAGACCTGCAGTTGGTGATGAAGAGCTGGAGACAGTTGGTCATTTTACTTATCTGGGTTCCACAGTGAATAAAAAACTATCTCTGGATCAAGAAATCAACGTCAGGATAGGTGAGGCAGCAACAAAAATGAGCAGGTTAACAAAAAGAGTTTGGGAGAACAGAAAGCTCACAATTAAAACAAAAACTCTTGTCTATCAGGCTTGCGTTCTCAGCACTCTGCTTTATGGCAGTGAAACTTGGTCAGCTAATATGCATCAGGAGAGACGGCTAAATAGCTTTCAGATGCGATGCCTAAGAAGAATACTTGGCATTGAGTGGCAGGACAAGATCACAAACACTGAAGTATTGGATGCTCAGTCTACGGAGGCTCAGGTGGCTGGGTCACACATGAAGAAGTCCCAAAGGACATCCTTTATGTTGAGTTAAAGACGGGAAGAAGATGTTGAGGCCGACATATACTGCAATATAAAGACATGTGCAAGCAGGACATAAATGATACAGGTATTGAGGTGGACTCGGAACAAAATGCCATGGACTGTGTATGGAGGGGGTACATCAGGAAGGTAATGAGAATGAAGGAGGAAATGACTGCAGAAAGTATGAGAGTTGAGCGTTTGAGAAGAAAGAGACTGAACACACATATTCACAGCAATGGTCCAATGGAGGGGGGGTCACGGGGGGGGGGGGGGGGGGGGGCACTGCTTCCTTAGCAAGCTTGTCTTAAAAGATAATTAATTAGACTTTACTTAAATTGACTGTGTTGGGCTGAATGGAGCAGATGTAAAACACACCACAGTGTGCCAACCACCCTTTTAAGGTTGAATGCAGAAGAAGAGTTTGCTGCGGTTTATGTAACAATCAGTATAAAATTCTTTATTTATTAGGTTCCAGCAGCTAAAGAAGAGGTGCCTCCACAGTATGAACATTATCTTCACTTGTTGCAGGAGAGAAATAGGTGTGTAAATGTGTCCTTAATTTGTTTGTTTTCCCGTGTCCTTGCATACATGTCACTTTATGCTTTTGTGCTTGTGTTTATATTAGTACCTTATTGGGCAACCTTTACATTGGTGATTTCTCAAGAATATATGTAATAACAGTCACAATTTAAGATTTATTTTGTGTATTTCGCTGCTGCTTCTTCTTCTTCTTCTTCTTCTTCTTCTTCTTCTTCTTCTTCTTCTTCTTCTTCTTCTTCTTCTTCATCTTCTTCTCCTCTTCCAGCTCCTTCCCCTCCTCCTCCTTCTTCTTCTTCAGCATATGACCTTATGAGATTCATTGCTATAGATATATATTATCCACCTTCATTCATCTCTGTGATCGACCTTCTCTTTCCACTTAGTGACTCCAAGTATTTGTAGGTCTTCCTGTATATTATTCATTCACCATCTTATCAGAAGCCACCATGGTATCGCGGCTAGATGCTCGCCTGTGTATCCAAAGGCCGTGGTTTCAGGTCCATTCCTGATGGAGCCCAGGTCGACCTAGTCTTCAGTGAGTGCCAGGTATAGACCTGGGAAGTAAAGACAGCTGACATCACCCACTGTGTACAGATTTTTCTAAAAAATATAGGTCTAGCCCTGTATGCCCAATGCACCTTAAGGTGTGTGAAAGGGTCTTTTATTTACCATATTGTTTGTCTGCCTCATGATATGCTTCCATTCAGCTTTTTTGTGTGTGTGTACGCAGTATCTGTCTCACTTTATCTGCCATTCTCTCATTTTCCTGAACCATTGCAGCCTATTAGCTTTCTTGTCCTTATTTTAATTTGTATAATATTATAGCTTTGGTAGCATTTTGTAAAATATATTTCTCAGTTTATTGAAAAAATTAATTTGGCTCATTTTATAATGAAGCTTATAGAAAAACACAGTTTACTATTTACATTTTCTATGTAATGTCATCAGATTGATGCGGAGGTTGCAGAAGAAGGACAAAAAAGAAATTGAACTGGAAAAGAAGGAAAAGGGATTTACACTTTATTTGAACAGCTCCTTCTCAAGTGATCAAACCATTCAGGCCAAAAAGGATAGACGACATCACAAATACAGATCTAAAACTGCTGGTAATGGTGATCATTTTTTGTGTAGAAAGACATAAGATTTTGTCCTGTGTAAATGTACAGAACTTATTCTTTTTCTATGTTCACCTTAAATGGCAAGACATACAACCATTGGCTGGGACATTTCTAAAGGATCTCTTGCATGGTGAACTGCACAGATGGCTGTGCATATAACCCCCCTTTTCCCCCCAACTGAAGAGAGAGAGCAAGACTGAGACAAAATATGTTAACATTTAAGATTTATAATATTTTCCTTCTGCTGTATCACTCATTAGAGCATAGACCTAGAACCATCCTACACCAAGTCGAAACTGTCAACTGCACCCCCACAGCTTGCAACCTTATGTGTTTGATGGCTTTGCTTTCACTGTTTTCACTAGTAAATGTTTCCGTGTCTCATCTTGAGACAATAAATCAATAAAAAATCAAAACTGGAGCTGGTCAGCCTTACAAGAATACAATCACAAGCGATAGAATTGATGCTGTAGCTAGAAAGCTTCCATCAGCATACGTGAAAATACTGATTATCATCAACCTGTGGGTTGCGACCCTTTTATGGGTCGAATGACCCTTTCTTAAAGGTTGCCTAAGACCATCAGAAAACACATATTGATTGAAGTTATGAAGTAGCAGTAAAAATAATTGTATGGTTTGGGGTCGCCCCAACATGAAGAACTGAATTAAGGGGTCGCCACAACATGAGGAACTGTATTAAAGGGTGGCAGCATTAGAAAGGTTGAGAACCACTGATGTAGAGGGTTCTTTACAGAAAAGTACTGTCATTACAGCCCGCCTGAAAGAAATTCAATCTCTTGCCAGCTTTCCTGCCTAATATATTTTCCTACCCAAGGTGTCTCTTTATCTCTTTTGCCCATCCTTATGCTGGTCGACCCTTGACCCTCATTTCCAGTACCATACTCTCAGCTACTGTTCTTTCTTATCAATTGCAGCACTTGATATGGTCGAAATATTTCAGTTTCCATGACAAGATGTTGTTTTCAAGTCAACCTTTCTTGATATTCAGATATTTTAGGATGTCAATATTTCTTTCTTATCAAAGATGCAAACAATGGAGAATCGAGAGTGAGGAGCAACAACAAAATTCATCATCTGTTTAAATCACCATTGATCACTGGCATCATGACAACTAGAAGACTAAAATGGCTTGGGCATATTGAGAGAATGTCAGATGACAGAGAGGTAAAAACTGTATACACAAGGGAGCTGAGGCCAACCAAGAAGATGATGGAGAGATAATGTCCAGACAGACCTGCAAACACTTGGTGTCATCAACTGGAAAGAGAAGGCCAACCAGAGATATGGGTGGAGCCAGATTATATCTGCAACAGTGAACCCCAAGGGCTTGGAATGCTGAAGAAGAAGAAATATTTCTTTCTTCTTTTTCTTTGACTTCACCTGCTGTAAACCCCAGCAGAAAGTTCTGGTTGTTCATCCACTTCTGGACTTGGTCCTGTTCCAGAACTTGAGTTTTGCATATACTTTACCTTCAATAGATCTGGCTTATTAACATGCAGATTGCTGGTTCCATGCCTCTCAGGCTGATGCACTCCCATTTCAAAGGAAACATCCATAATTAGTCCTTGTTTGTCATGCTTGTTGGGGAGGGTGCAGTTGTTGTTTTTTCCTCCTCAAAACGGATCCCGTAACCCACATGGGAGAATATTTCTTCTTCAGTCCATGGTATTCTGAGAATCTTTCTTTAGCATTTCAGCTCCAAAGCCTCTATTTTCTTCCTTGTCACCTGCAAGATAGTCCATGACTCACATCTCATAATTTACTGCATAAACATTTTTTTTTTTAAACAACATAAATTGATGTAGCTTCAATTTTTTTTTTTAAATTAAATTATTTTAAATTACACTGAAAGCTAGAATATAAAAACTCTTTTTTTTTTTCTTCAGAAAGCCAGTATATTAAAAACTAAATTTTTTTTTCTTTAGAAGTCAGGTCAGAGTTACATATGCTGAACTACAAGATGTTACTGAAGTAAACTAAATTTAACAAACATTTTCAGATAACTTACAAGGATCAAACTTTCCAGGTCTGCAGTTTGGTAATCAGGCAACAAGCAGATCTGCAAGCCAAGTCAAGGGGAAAAGAAAAAACTGGTGTATTGGCTCTGTTGAGTTTACAACAGCAGATGGGCAGAGGCAGAAAATAAAACCTCCAGGTTTGTTTTGTCAAAGCTGAGACATCTCTAAGTGTGATAGTTCTAGTAATGTTATGGTTGACCTTGCTGTGGCTTAAACATTTCAAACATGCTTTGTAATTCTGAAGTACCAACAGCATTGGTATGGAGCGCTAACCATTCAGAAAAGGATTGGCAATCTACTGAATGTAAAATTGCTTAGTAAAATCACAAACAGCTAAAAAAAAAAATGCTAGGGTTTGTAATGAATGTACTAATGAATGTAATGTGTCTCCTCCACACTTGATCTTTCTAGTGCAGATTCAACACTGACTCCACTGTCTAGGTGTTAGGTCACAATTCATTCTAGCCAGACGGCTCTTCTCTCCACGGCCACACAACTTCAAATGACGGTCGACAACAGCTGACACATTTCACAAGTTTATTGTCAAGGTAGCACAAGACACGAATCAACAGATGAACCAACTTACGCCATTCGGGGAATCTCGCCTTGCTCACGCATTGAGTCTCTAGCCATGCTTCAAACGATGGACATTGGCATGTACACGGCTGGTTCAACAAACATACCGTGAAACACAACTGCTGGCCTAAACGATCATTCAATAGCGCTGCCTGTCTTGTCGTTCAGCACTAATATTCATTTGGCTCTTATTCAGATCCACGTGCACTTCTCACTCTGGATTCACCTTCACAGATTCAGCTTCACATCCTTCCAATTTTTGGGCCCAGTCACCGAATGACCACCTCATTCTCAATCCCCCAGAACTCGCATTCACACGTGACTCACTCACTCTTGTCTTTTCACCATATCTTCGTGAAACCCATGCCATCAGGGACTTACCCAATTATGCCAGTCATACCCTGACGTTATCCCTATTTATAGCATCATTACAGGGTTGGGTTCTGCTATATCTTGTGAAGAACATGCCTAATGGAGGGGGGAAAAGAATAGACCCACTGTTTGCATGCCCACTTTCGCGCATGTCGTAAAAGGTTACTGATTAGGGTTTTGCTTAAATCATATGTGTTGGCTCGGCAGAGGCAGATATTGTAGTCTAGCTGTAAACCACAGCACAGTATGCTGGACCCCCCCCCCCCCCCTCCCCCTTTTATGGGCAAACGCACAAGAAGAAGCTAGAAGCACCACAAAAAAGATCATATGGTACTTAAATAACTGAGGTTAGATAAGGACAAATCTACTTCTGTTACTGAAAAACTAATAATCTGTATGCCTAATTCATCTCATCATCGTCCCATAACACTGCAAGACGTTAAGTCACCCATTGCTATTTTCTGTCTGATCAGCTGCCTCTACCTTTGGCAGTCAGATGCAGTGGACTTCATAGTTACTAATCAATGTTTGCTGTTTTATTTTGTTTCATTCTTCAGAGCGCCTGACAGGCAAGTATGCTGATGACTTTGAAAGCAGCACAGACAGTGATTGTGACCCTTCCGAAGTAGGTTTACCATATATGACTTTTTGAATTTACTTTGGCAGAGCTCATGTGACAGTTTTATTTTGTATATGCTTCAGCAGTTTTAATCTTCTATAAAGATCAGAAGTAGAAGGCTGTGGGGTCAGAATGTCCACCTTACACATTACGGGATTGTAAGGTTCTGAGTCAAGCCTGTACTTTAGATGGTGATTGGATCTACTCTTTCGTGCCATGTGGCTTCCGAGATCCCAATGTGGAGAAAACAGTTGATTGGATCTACTCCTTCATGCCATGTGGCTTCCGAGATCCCAGTGTGGAGAAAACAGATGATCGGATCTACTCCTTCGTGCCATGTGGCTTCTGAGATCCCAATGTGGAGAAAACAGATGATTGGATCTACTCCTTCATGCCATGTGGCTTCTGAGGTCCCGGTGTGGAGAAAACAACAATAGACCCACTGCCTATTGAAAACGTGTCGTAAGAGTCGACTAATTGGGACAGGATTAGAGTCCAGAAGTGGGTGAACGACCAGAACTTTCCGTTGGAGTTTACAGCCAAGAATGCTAAGAAAAAGAAGTATTGGTTCTTTGCCATCTGTTTCTATTGTGACTTCATTCCTAATTTGTATTCTTTTGTCGCCTCTTCAGCCTTTCTCCGACATCTAATTTTTGTTGTTACTATGGTTCCATAGACTGGATAAGCATCTCTATCTCTCTAGCTTAGAAACATCTCATGTGAGCAATAGTTTATAGATGCCGTCATCATGTGTTTGTTAGTGTCTTTTCCCATGATAAACTATTCATACATGCCCTCCCCATGCAGCTGTTACAATAATCTACTCTGCCCTAATTGTTAGCTTTTCTACATCACAGTAATATTATTTTAACTCCGTCAGACCCAAACATATACCATATGTTTTTCAGTGTATAAGACAATATGTTTTCTTAAATTTTGTAAGTTTAAATGTCTGGGGTCATTTGTAATGTGTTTAAAATATTTATTTCTTAGTTTTGGACTTCATAAAAAATAGAGGTTGTCTTATTCATGGAGGCGTCTTATACATGGAACAAATATTGTAATTCATTGGCACTATGCCAGTGTCACCTAAGTGTTAAAGCTATACTTTGACAATATCTCGTTTTAACATTAAGATATTTCTGAAAATTGTTTAGCTGCATGAAAACTAACACTTAATGTTTGACCTGTTTGGGGTAGGAATTCACATTTGTGCTTGTGGCGTATTGTAAAGTGAAAACAATCCTGAAAATGCACTTAAGTGAAAATTGCTAAAATTGCACCTGGGTGGCTTTTACTCATGCCAAAAAAATTATTAAAATAACAGTTTTTTAGGACATAATGATTTAAAGTAACGCCTGTCTAGAATTGAAAGAGTTAAACACTCAAATCAACTAGGACACCTCTGTAATAGAGTAACTGGCCATAGCGATTCAAAGATTAAACAGTATTACAAGTCTATGGTTACACACCAGCAAGGAGATTGATATTAACATGTTGAGAACATATATCTTTCCTGTAGCAACATGTGGATGTGTGTCCTGGACTATCTCCCAGTCTTTAAAAAAAAAAAAGGGGGTTTGAGCTGAAATGCTATCGAAAATTCTCAGAATCTCAAAGAAGAGAAGAAATACTGACATTTTGAAAAGTCTGAACATCAAGGAAGATTGGCCAGTAAACAGCATCTTATCTCGGAAGCTGAAATATTTTGGTCATATCAAGTGCCATGGTGGAAGGAATAATATCAGAATGCATGGTACCAGGAAGGAGAAGCAGGGACCGACCAGCACGAAGATGGGCACAAGCTATATGTGACTGCTTGAATATGAAAATACAGGAGAGCTTGCGAGAGACCGAGTTTCTTTCTGGCAGACTGTGATGAGAGCGACATTCTGCAAAGGACCTACTACATGATGATGATGATGATACGTGACTGTCAGAGTTAAGCCATCTATGAGGTATCTTGCAAGAAGATTGATGTGCTTGATCTTTCTTTCCCTGTCACTAGACATTGATGGGCAATGGCTTTAACTTGTGGACTCCTAATGCAGCTTTAGATATCGTAAGGCCATTTTAATATATTACCTGTTTAACTCCTGCACTGAGAAGCTGCAAAACCAATACTTTCGGTTGTTTCCATTTCCCCCTAAATGTCACTTTACTGACTTGCTGAGGTAACTTATTCATGAGAAGCATAGCTAACAGCACTGAAATTGTTTGCACCTGAGAAAATGTTTAAGGGGAAGCTGAATTGATTATATTAACTTGAACAAATGGTGTTTGAATATAAATTCTGATGTCCTATTTACCACTAGTGGTTACCTGGCAACCGGGTTAGCAGGTCAAGTATGGGTCACTATTCTAAATTTATTTTAATTATCAGATAGAGGTAAATCGGTTAATTCTCTGCTGCATTCATGTTTGCCTATAACTCCTTATTCTGTGCGGAAATTAATATGGTTTTGGTCTGTAAATGGAATCGTTGCAATTTTTTTTTTGCTGACCTGTGTAAAGTGGTTTTAAAAAAACCAGGAATTCCTGAATGTGGGTCATTGGCAGTTTTTTTTTTTTTTCTAGGTAACTGGGACGAAACGATTCATACCATCTGTCCATCTATTTCAGAGTTTCATGTTTTCTCAAAGTTAAGTCAATACTCTCTTACTGACCATTAAAATCAAATAATGCAACTGATAAATGATTTTCTCCTGGATAGCTTATTTACAGTATGTCCTCACTGAATGTTGATGATGACCAGTCAACATCGGTCACCAATCCACGCAGACACAAGACCAACTATCTAAAGAAGGTTGTGGCAGCCAAACGAGAAGAGGCTGAAGCAGAAAATCGTGTTACAATTAAACTTGAAGATGTAAAGGTTGGTTTGCTGGTTTATTTTAAAAAAAAACTGACCTTCATCATCGTTATTATCGTCATCATCAAGAGCCCGTGCCAACTGTTATGGAGGAAAATGTATTGTTACACCTTCATGTCTTTTGCATTGTGGATGAACTCATGTGCTGATATTTATTGTATACCATGGTCCAAGTCTATTCTTGTTCATCTCCCCCCCCCCCCCCCCCGTACACTTTGAGACATGAGTGTCTTAATTTTTTTCAAAACATTCAGATTACTAATTTCAGCTGCCTGTGGTGGTATTTGTAACACTCCTATGTGAGTTTAAGTAACCTTTTGCTTATTGATTAATTAGTCAGAATTAACTCTTTCAGTCTCATGGGATTTAGCATCAAAGGCTAAAGGGTTAGTCAAGAGAGACGTAAAATCAGCGCATCGTGCGGTCTCTGGGCTTCAAGGAGGAACCTGTGAACGCATAATAGTCTTAGGAGACTAAAATAGTTAAAAATTAGTAGTAAATGTTTCATTAACATTGTGGCTAATGGCAGGCAATAAAGTAGTGCTGAAATCAAAACTCACTGGCAAGTTATGTCATTCTTGTTTGCATTTCTTTCATACTCTGAAACACTGTCAGTTCATTGTCAACCTAATATCATTATTTGAATTGAGTTGAACATTATATACAACAATGAGAAGGAAACAGACAAAGTTCTTTGGTCATGTGATGAAAAAAAGGAGCACTGGAAAATATTGTTACGACTGGAAAGATCACTGTTAGAAGAGGAGGAGGCAGACCAAGAGAAGTGATGGTGGATGGCTTAAGTCTTCAGTAGCCAGGGTAGAGTTTCACTTCTGATAAAACCAGTAGCAATCTGGTTGTATGTCTGTCTTTCCTCTTCTCTGAGTGTTGGCCAGACCCCCTGTTTGCTTCCGCTGCACAATTTTTTCACACCTTGATGATCTATTTGTACACTGCTCAGTCACTGCAAATCGGCCTTGATTACGTCTAGCTTTTCATTTGTGATTAATGTCACTAAGATGTGATGTGCAGAACCAGCCAGTCTGCCTGTCTGCTGTGTCCCACTACACTACCTGGAGTAAATATTCTAAGGAAGCTAACTGCTAATTATATTTCATATCATATACACTCGTCTGATTATTGTTTTTGATGTAATTGCATTGTGCCTGTTACAGTACAGCTGCAATGTTTGTTTTCTGGCTTAACTCTTTCTGTCACATGCAACGCTTGACCTGTTAAAGAATCCACCTCTTGGTTTCTCTCCATAGCATCATGTTTTATCGATATGGCCACTTATAGTTAGTTGTATATTTTAAAAGTAAAGAGATATACAATATTTCATCATGGTTTATATCTTCACTTTGTTGTCTCCTGTGAAACCTTCTGGTACTGAAAGAATTAACCTTCGTGTATGTGATATATTACACAGCTTGTGAATCTGTTCTAAACTCTTGCTTAATAAATTTTGTATTGTTTTTTTTTTTGTGATAGAAAAACATTCCGTTAAAACGGCTGGAAAAAAATATTTTTTCCTAATCTTTAATTAATTGCTGAATGAGGTGCATTCTTGGTATATCATGGCGAGACTTTGTCCCCAATAAGTATGTACTCAAAAGAACAGGAATGCCAATTAGGTACTTTCTGTTGAAGCAAAGAGGCTTGCACTGGTTGGGACATGTCTCTCGCATGGAGGGCGGTTGCATTCCAAAGGATCTCCTTTATGGTAAACTGGTAACAGGGATAAGACCCAAAGGAAGGCCAAAGCTATGCTATAAGGAAATATGCAAACGCAACCTGAAAGATACCAACATTGACACAGACACTTGGGAGAGATCAGTTGCAGACAAGACTCCTTTGGAGGCCGACAGCCAAAAATGGATGGCCCTAGTTGAAAAAAAAGCCAAGCCCAGCAAGCTATAGAGAAGAGACGTCTGAGAGACACCAGCCTCAGAACGATAGTTTCGTAATTTGTATGCGTAATATGTGCCAGAGACTGCCACTCCTGCATTTTACTTTGCAATCATAGCAGATACTGTTCTCAAAATCAGAGGCACAGAGCCATGTCCAAGGCCTACAGGAGATGTGAACCAGCGCCATTGCACACGGTTATAAACCATAAGTGCTGTGCCACCAGTACAGACAGCTCATAAGAAACTGTCCGCCCGTGTCGCCCACGCAACTCCATAGCTACAACGATGTTCTTCCATTTACCCCAGAATGTTAATTCTGGTACCCATTTCCTAGAGGCTGGGTGAACCCCGGGAACCGCCTGATTTCGAACACCAGCCATGGGCTGCAGCAAGTCGCAGCTGGATTTGAAAGTGAGTCTCCTATCGACTGCACTAATTTGGCCCCGAGGTAATTAATCTAGATTTATCAAATGTTTTTAATATTTTAGCTTTTATTAATTTTTTTCTTTCTTTTCACAGAAACTTCGTGAAAGCCTTCAAATGAATACAAATCTACGACAAAGCTTGGCTATGGAAGTTGATTCTGTAAGTTTAAAACAACAATTTTTGGTCTGCTATATGCTGTGTTAATATGAATGAGACATTCAACTTTATGCTTCATTCCTCTTTCAAGAGCAGTGCATCGCAGCTAATTGTGCACTTCAAAGATCTGGACATGAACTGCTGTCAGGTTAACTTCCTCTAGAGCAGCGGTTCTCAATCTGTGGGTCGCGACCCCCTTTTTGGGTCAGATGACCCTTTCACATGGGTCGCCTAAGACCATCGGAACACACATAGTCATTGACGTTTTGAAGGAAAATAATTGTTTGGGTGTCGCCACAAACAAAGGAAACTGTATTAAAGGGCCGCGGCATTAGAAAGGTTGAGAGCCTGTGCTCTAGGCGGATTCTATTCATGGTAATTGACTCTCTGCAGGAAGGTGTTCCTACACATTTGCTAGAGTGCAACTTTTCAGACCTGGTATCTTATACAGTCTACATCTATGGCTTGGGGATTAACAACATGGCTCGTAACTCTGCAATACCCAGTTCCTTTCAACTGCAAATACTTTGGCAACAATACGTTGATTTCAATATTGATATGGAGCGTTGATTGTTGAAAGAGCAGTAACAGACTGCTGAATGTACAGTGGCCCAGTAAAATCACAAATAGCTAACAAATGCTGAGGTTGGATAAGCAACTAATTGTTGTAGCCTCAGCCACACCTCCCTATATTTGATGCATTTAGTGAAACTAACAAGACAACTCTGTATTACTTCATAGTTTTTCTTCTTAAAGACCATGCTATGTGGTGTTTATTAGTATGGCTATCTTTCATCTTCATCATCATCAAGTGCCTTGCCAGCTGGCGTAGGCATTCATGCATCTCCACAGATCTCGATCTTTGGTGTTCTGGATCAATTCCACTGATGATATTCCTCCATGCCACTGTCTTAAGCCCTCCACCATCATTTCTCTTGGTCTGCCTCTGCCTCTTCCACCAGTGATCTTTCCAGTTGTCACAATATTTCCAGTGTTCCTTTTCTCATCACATGACCAGATAACCTTGTCTCCTTCTCATTGTTGTATATAATGTTCTACTTTCATAAGCCATTTCCAGGCATAGTTAAACAAATTTAATGAGGATTTGTAGTTTTTTTAATCAATGCTAAAGTATGACTTTATTAGAATTGACAATATTTATTATTATTTTATATTAATATTGCCCTATGTGGGTAGTGCGGTCCTATTTTTGAGAGAAAAAAGATTAGACCCACTGCGCCCCTTAACAATCATGTTGTAAAAGCAGACTAATTAGGAGTGTATCCTTCACAGTCGGAGTGCATCCTTCACAGTCGGAGTGCATCCTTCACAGTCGGAGTGCATCCTTCACAGTCGGAGTGTATCCTTCACAGTCAGAGTGCATCCTTCACAGTCAGAGTGCATCTGCCTGAGAGGCAAGGAACCAGCAGTCTGTATAAATAAGTCAGATCTGTAAAATGAATGTGCAGGTTAAACTCAAGTTCTGGAACAAGGCTCTAAGACCAAAATGGGACGAATAACCATAACTTTTCTGCCGCCCTTTACTGCCAATAAATACGAAGAAGAAGATATTAATGTTAATCCACAAATGGAATATTTTTGGCACATGTGAAATGGAAGTATTTAAAATTTCCTTTCTTTCTCTTAATTTCTAAACTGTAACAAATAAAACAATGCTTTCTCTGGTAACGTTACTCTTGATTTTTGTATAGGAATTTGAAGAGGAGATAACAGAAGAAATAGTTCAGGTTTGACCACTCACTGTCTCTTGCAGACGTCTTTTGTTTATTGGTGTCTTCTTTTGAAAAGTTTGCATGAAGGAGCCTGTAATCAGTTACCTGTGACATATAATCACTCAGACTGTGAGAAATAAGTTACTGTCAGTCACTCTATATAACAGAGGAAGGAAATTGAGATTAAAGGACACACTGTAACATTAGAATTGCCCCCCCCCCCCAACCCACCCCCCTCATGTATGGGTTCTGGGGTCCCATTGTGGAGAGAAAAAAAAAAGAGAAAAGAATAGACCTACAGCCCCTCAATAAGCATGTCGTAAAGTCTACCAATTAGAGGTGTTTTCTTGGAAGTCGAAGTGCATCTGCCTGAGAGGTGAGGTAGCAACGTTTTTTTTGTGTGCAAGTAAGCCCATCTGTGAAATCGATGTGAACACAAAACTCTGGCCCTGGAAGAAGACTAAAGTCCAGAAGTAGACGAACAAACCAGAACTTTCTGCAGGAGTTTACAGCCGGTGAACTTAAGATAAAGAAGACTTCTACTGAGAATCTGTGCAGTGACAGTCATGTTTGTCCATGGCCTTCTATCTTGTGACCTGGCAGTCATTTCTGATACAAATGTTCTTCCATACCAGACTGTCAAATTTCTCTTTTAGCCTTCTTCAGCTTCTCTTCCCTCCAGCTTTCCTGTCACAAAGTTGTGTGCATCTGTGTGTGTGAGTTTTTTTTTTTTTTTTTTTAACAACATGCACAAAGAATATTGTCCTATAATACAGGTAATCAGTTCTCTTTGAGGGTTAATTTCTTTTAAGATATCTTCATTACGCTTTGTATCTGTTTATGACATTCTCACTTTCTCTCACACACACACACACAAAAGCTGAAAATTGAAGTTGTTTTGGATTTATTTAATTGCACTGGGGTTTTTCTGCACATGGCTTGGTCTCTTTCTGCAGAATGGCTAGCTGCCTACCGAGAGCATCGCACACAGCTCAAATCTATAGCTTCGATAACGATTCCGAGGGGTCTGTGTAAAAATTGTTCCTGTGAACCGCCAACGTGGAATGAACCCACAACCTTCAGAGCACAGGAAAAACAGCTTGACAGTGATCCTGTGTTTGAAAAAACGACATCTCTGCAGCTTCCACATGTATTTTGCACGAATAGGCTGTCTTTGATTCTCTTGCCACATAGTCGCAACATTGCCGACCCCAACACTTTACCATCCATTCTAGAAATTCACACTTTCCTCCGAAGTCGGAGTACATCTGCCGGAGAGGCGGGGAACGAATACTGCAAACAAATAACCAGTAAAACGGATGTACACGCAAAACTCAGGTCAAGGTAAAAGCCAAAAGTCCATCTTGGACGAACAACCGCGACTTACCGCCGGAATTCACAGCCGGTGAACAAGAAGAAGAAGAAGAAGAAATTCACACTGACCACATTTTGAAGATCTACTTTTGATACACCAAATTCACTTTAACACTCTAAGCGCTCCAAAAAAACACACGTCGTTGCACTCCAACAGACTTAACCAGTTCTTGCACACATTTAGACTCTTTTACTGACTGATAGCAACTGACTGAAACTGCCTCAAGGTTTTCCCACCTGCGGTCAGTTCTGCAAAGGTCTTGCTTACCTCGCAAAACCTGGGGTTCCGCAGTCCGCCCGTGAATCCCAGGCCACACATATTTCCCTAGCTCTAAGTGTCTCATGCACCTACTCTCACCCCATCAACATTTTCTAACTGATAATGTGCACTCATGCTTGGTTAAACCCTAGCTCCATTAACTCCTTTATACCAAAGTGACTTTAGCACACAACATAGGGTTTCTGGGACAAAAGGGTTGAAGAAACTTCAAAAGCATTCAGTCATTTATTAAGTTATGCATCCCCTTCTGTTTAAAAAAAAAAAAATACAGTTAGCCTTTAATGGATTATATGTTTTGCTCTTAAGTAATACTGACTTTAGAACTGGCCTGAATTAACTGGTAGATGTTTTTAGGCATGACCCTGCAATTTACAATGTGTTTATACACTTGCATTCATTGTCTCTCTTTGTGTTAATTTACCCTTTCACTCATTGAAAGATATTTTTGTTTCTTTGTTTTCAAGATGATTAATTTTCTATTATCTTGGATTTTTGTTGTTGCTTAATCTTGTAAGCATTCACTAATTGTGCATTATTGAGCAATGTGGAGATACATTTGTAAAAATGAGACTAATTTGATTTATTGCAGTGTGCACTTTTTTCACTGCACTGGTAACATTGTGGTTGTTTGTTAACAGAAGCAAAATATCATTACTATTGACAAAGTCTTTAAATTATCAGTGAGATTTTTAGCTGCAAAAGGTATGTTGCAGAAAAAGTGTGGACTACAATTTGAAAATGGTGAAGGCCAGTAAGGATTTGTAGAATGGAATTGAGGGATAGTCTGGAGCCCTAGTAACCTAAGAGGATGATGATGATAATGAGTGTAGTTGAGAAAGGGACAAATTATGCAGCATTCCAGGCACAAACAGAGAGATCAAAATGAGATCCCCAAAAAGTTATTCAAAGGTTTCATGAAGTGAAACATGTGGAATGCTCAAAATGGTGGATATTAAAATTACCAGCAAGTATCATAGAATAAAAAAAAAATATTTGCTGGAAACAAGTAGCTATAATTAAAATATGAGATCATATATGTAGTTATAAATAAATACAGCTTTGAATAGGGCATGGATTTGTTTTTAAAAATATATATATTAACACTATACAGGTAGTCGGTGTCTGTGGTTTAGGCTTTTCAAACTCGCTTCCTAATGCCGGGGTGGCGGGTTTGATCCCAGCTGCAGGCTTTGCGTCGTTTTCAAAAGTGGTATCGAGAGCTGATCGTCTAAAAAGGAATGGCAAACTGCTGGATGTAAAATTTGCATAGAAAAACCACAACAGCAACAAAAAAAATCCTGGGGTTGGTTTTGCAACTCTGTAAAGGATACGCAACTAACTTACTTGTACAGGTTGTCAAAGAAGAATATTAAACTAACACAAAACTGGTGTTTTCAGTCGCCACATGCTGAGGAACATACTGAAGATAGGATCAGAGTGCTTATGGACTTGAGTGGAATACATTCCCTAGGGCCTTAAAATAATGTATCTGGTGACGCACACTGCGATCTCTGTGGAACTCTAACTCTAAAAAGTAAAAATGATAAATACAGTTACAGTTAACAAATATCAGATGGGATTTGGAAAAAAAAAAATCAGGGCATACATTTTTATATAATCCCAGATTTAATGCTAAAGTAGTACTGCATCTTACATACAGGATGACTCGGATGAAGGGAGAGTTTCCCCAGTTGTTGAAGAAATTGAGGAAGAGATTTCAAGCGAGGATGATAACAGGGAGAGAGAAGAGCATACCATCAAGCCACTGGATGTCTTGAAGCCTGGAAACACACTTGTTTTGGAGTTTCAATCTTTGCCACGCAACAGTAAGTCACCACTTTTCTGCTTCCAGTAAGCACTGTTTTAGGTATTGTCACAGAAACCATAAATTACAAAATATTATTTTTTAAAAGAAGTATTTAAAAAAAAAAACTTTTCCTGTCTGATAATACCACATTTTAGGGCAGTGTACAACAGGGTAGAGTTGTGTCTATGCATCTAGAGCTGCATGGCTAGTACAGCTGCCATGGGCAGGTCTGGCTCTTTATGTTTGCAATGAACAGAAAACATATCCACCTAACTAAAAATTTTAACCTGGGTTTCACGGAAATCCTTGAGGATTATCACTGGAGCCAAGGATTTCATGCTTAATTCAAGCTCTTAGCTGGGGATATCTGTTCTTAGGAAAGATACTGCAAACTTTCAGCAGGGGCTAGCTGTTCTTTTCTTATGTAAGAGACTGTGCACGCGCTCAGCAGGGGCTAGCTGTTCTTAGGAGAGAAACTGTACAAGCTCACAGCAGGGGCTTGCTGTTTAATGTAGAGACTGTACAAGCTCACAGCAGGGGCTTGCTGTTTAATGTAGAGACTGTACAAGCTCACAGCAGGGGCTTGCTGTTTAATGTAGAGACTGTACAAGCTCACAGCAGGGGCTTGCTGTTTAATGTAGAGACTGTACAAGCTCACAGCAGGGGCTTGCTGTTTAATGTAGAGACTGTACAAGCTCACAGCAGGGGCTAGCTGTTTAATGTAGAGACTGTGCAAGCTCACAGCAGGGGCTTGCTGTTTAATGTAGAGACTGTACAAGTTCTCAGCAGGGGCTTGCTGTTTAATGTAGAGACTGTACAAGCTCACAGCAGGGGCTTGCTGTTTAATGTAGAGACTGTGCAAGCTCACAGCAGGGGCTTGCTGTTTAATGTAGAGACTGTACAAGTTCTCAGCAGGGGCTTGCTGTTTAATGTAGAGACTGTGCAAGCTATCAGCAGGGGCTTGCTGTTCAGGGAAGAAAGACTGAGCAGGATAGATAAAACCTGCCTCATTTAAGGCAGTTATAATTTATAATTATATTTAGTCTTCATACCAACTCTGTTCTCTGTCTAACACTTGGACATTGGCTAAAGAACATGAAAAAACCACCTGGGCAATGACATTTTTGAGAATGAAAGAAATAACAACTGTTGGAACAACGCCTATAATTAAATTCATTGTAAAGCAAAGATTAAAATTGTTTGGTCATTTAATGAGAAGGAATCCAATGTTGCCAGAAACAAGAAAGTAGAAACACCATAAAGTAGAGGATGACCAAGAAGAAGATGTAAAACTGCTACTGGCACCATTAGTACTGGAACACAGCACTGGCTGCTGAAGATGGAGATAGGCGCTTATGGGAATGTTCTGAGTGCTGTGTCAGTTCTTGAATCAACTTAAGAAGAAGATTGATTGATGGGGTCACCTTGAGACTCCACAGTGTACCAGGCAACCAAGTGTGCCATAGCTTGGATGCCAGTCATCTGTTAGCCTGCTACACGTAGCGGTAAAAAGCAAAATATGGACAGAAGGAAAAAAAAGAAAGAATTAAGTCGATCCCGCTTGATTAGAAACTTAAAAAAAATATATTTTATTTTATTTATGACTTCCATTTATTGATATTTCCACACCTGAATCTTTTGCAGATGCCAGCAAAACTTCCCGTCCACTTTCTGCAAATGTGAGAAACTCAAATAGTAGAACAGACCCCAAAGAGGAGGCGTCTGCTGTGATCAAAGCTTTACAAGAGGAAAACAAGAAGGTGGAGCTGTTTTCTAGGTCTTCAAGTTCTAGACCTCTGCCACAGCCTAAGGTAAGCACTGCAACAACAACAAAAATGGTAATAATCTAGATTGTAAGCAGGTACCTAAAGAAATCGATCTTTATAATCTAAACATAGTTTAGGCAGTCACTTCAATGAATGGATCTTTATAATCCAAACATATTTCAGACACGCGTAAAAAAATGTTTTAAAAAATATACAAAAAATAAAAAGATATTTTTGTCAGTCAACCACAGTTTAAGATGTCCTTTATGTGTGTGTCACCGATCTCTTGTTCTATTCTGCAGCCAAAATACAACTGTACGCCTTCTTAATCCCTTCAGTTATATTTTGTTTTTGTTATAGAAATGTCACCTCACAACATATCTATATAAATAAAAATTTAAATGTTCTGTTGCTAGTAATAGCTAATCTCCAAAAGTTCTTCATTGATTGCTTTCAAATTTTGACACGTTGCGTTTGAATACACACATGTTTTTATCTACGAGTGAGTGTCGCACAAAGCACGAACTACATAGCTCCAGCAACAATCACATCGGCGCCTTGGTTTTGTTTTCTGGCAATTTAATTTTTGTTGTTGCCGCGTTCCCGCTGCAGGTTGTAGGCGAACTTTGACTGTTGACCTCAGAAATCTGCATGAAGCTGTATGAGATAAAAAATAATGCGTTGAATATTACACTGGCCGCATTCACTTCTCATTACAATTCATGCTGCCCATTTTAGTCTGGGTGGACACGGATGCCAAGGTCAGTTAAAAAAGGATATCATCAGGTGATGAATTTCAAACCTTTGGAGAAGGAAAGAGGAGTGGTTGGTAGATTGGGGGGATAGGGGTGATGACAGACAGGGTTAACTGAGAGAACTTAGAACATGATTTTAAAGTTTTTCACTTTTTAATGATTTATCTCCCTGTGTGGGTCCCAGGGCCCTATTATGGGGAAAACAAGAATAGACCCACTGCCTACCCAAAAGCATGTCGTAAGAGTCGACTAATTGGGAGATTCCTTCGAAGTCGGAGTTCATCTGCCTGAGAGGCAACGAAACAACAGTCTGCAAACAAATTAGTCAGATCTGTCTAACGGATGCACATGCAAAACTCAGGTTCTGGAACTGGGCTGCAGTCCAGAAGTGGAGGAACAGCTAGAACTTTCCCCAGAGTTTACAGCTGGTGAACACGAAGAAGAAGAATTATTTATCTTGGCTACTTTCATTTTGTGTGTGCACATTTTTTGGTCATTTAGAAGTACAGTTAATAATACAATTTAAACCACCACTAATATAAATACATACTTATATGTTGCATGTTCTAGAGTCAGCAAACCAGACTGTCTTTATATCTACGCAGACATTGATTGCGAAATCAACTATATTAGACACGTGCGCTTTCTATTTTCTTTATTTTCTATTTCACCAGATTGAGCCACAGCAAAGCGTGGCGGAAACAGCTAGTAAAACATAAAGTATCAGAACTATTCACACATGCCCTGGGCGTTTCTAACTATGATACTTCTGATAATGACAAATACACTAACTGATGACAAAATGTTATCAGAGATAAGATATTTATACAAAAAAGGTGATGTAATCATATTGGGATTGCATCATAGACTTCTAGTTACATTTTTACTGGTCGTTGGCAAGAATTATGCAGTCACCCACAATAGTTGTGTGATATATATGATTGACCATAATGAATAAACTAGTGGCACATATCTTGAAAGTTAGAGCCAGTCAACATTTGTCAATGTCATTTTCAGCACACCAAATTTAGTTAAGATCAGCTGTTTTCATTTCTGAAACATTTTGATTGTTGACTATTGTTACAGAAGACATTGTATTTTCTTGTTCACTTATCAGAGTATACCTGGAGTTCCTAGAGCTTTGCCCTCTCCTTCTAAAGAAAGCACTAAATTGCTCACCCCCATGAAGTCTTCATCAAATCCAGATCAAGCTAGATCAGACAACCCTGCAGTAGAAAGCAAGCTTCCGTCTGCTGGGGATGACAACTCGAACATCACTGCAGTAATAGAGAGAGTTCTGAAAATGAATCCTAGGTATCTTTTTTTCCATGTGCATTTTGTCCAGTAGTAAAGAAATTAATTAGTTAGTTGAGTTACCATCATTGCACTCTGTACATATCCATATGTGCTCAGATCCTACTCTCAGTATGAACCCCAGCGTACGGTGGCTAATAGTACCCGTTTGTGTTCATTTACAAGTCCTCTAATGTGCCTGGTGCGTGTCTCGTTTTTTGCTATGCTAATCTTAACTCCCAGATTTATCCTTCTAGCCAGTGATGTGGATTCACAGTCCCCAGAGTCCTCCACTCATCCCATTTCTCAGAGGGCATTAGTAATATCAGTATACTCCATAGGTTGACCTTTGGTAAAGAAGTTATTAGAAATAAAAAGCAGGTCTTGCAGTGAGCTAGTGTAGAAGTGAGTGATAGCAAGTGAGAATTTGAGATGTTCCTTCACTTTTTAGATCATAGTTTGAAATTTTTCTCCATTGATATACACATGTGTAGACATGAGTATGTGATAGAAGTAAGTCTTGGTTTGAGAATTTCCTTCCTGGTATAGAAGTGAGTGTCATACAGAAGTAAGTCTTAGCTGAGGTGTTTTCTCCACTTGTATAGAATTGAATGTGTGATAGAATTATTATTTTGAGTGTTTTCTCCATTTGTGTAGAATTGATTGAGTGATGAAGTAAGTCTTAGTTTAAGTATTTTCTCCATTTGTATTGAACTGAAGATGTGATAGAAGTAAATCTTAGTTTTATTGTTTTCTCCATTTGTACAGAATTAAATGTGTGATAAAAGTAAATTTTAGTTCAATTGTTTTCTCCACTTATATAGAAATGAATGTGTGATAACAGTCAGTCTTAGTTTAAGTGTTTTCTCCCCTTGTATAGAATTGAATGTGTGATAGAAGTCAATTTTATTTTAAGAATATTTCCCACTGTTTTACAAGAAAGTATGTGAAAGAAGTAGGAACACACCCACTGCCTTCCTTAACAAGCATGTCTAAAGAGTCAACTAATTAGGGGTGTTTCCTTCAAATTAGTAGGGAATCTGTCTGAGAGGTAAGGAACCAACAGTCTCCCTACAAATAGGTCAGATCTGTAAAACAGATAAGCATGCAAACCAAGGCTTAAGTCCAGAGATAGATAAAACTTTATGCTGGAGTTTTCAGCTGGTGAACGTGAAGAAGAAGAGTTTTAACCACTTTCCTTCAACAAAGATATATCTGTAAGTAGGTCTTAGTTTGCTTGAGTTGTTGAATTAATGATTTCACCTGTCATTAGACAACAGAAACAGTTGCTGCAGACATTAAACCATATTGATGTTGACGAGAAGAGTATTGATCTAAGCAAAGCTTCCAGACAGCTGAATTCAGTTGCCAACAGCTGGGTAAGTGTTAAAATACATTTGAGCACATTAAATTTACAGTTTGTTTATGTTCTTTAGTAGTAACAATTATGAGTTTTTCTGCATGTCTTTAATATTCCTTTTTAAGATAAAGCCTTGAAAGTTTTTTTTTTTTTTTTTTTTTTCAATTTTCTACTCTAGAAATTCTGGGTTTTCCCCATCACTTCTTGATCATTTCAGCCATCGATTGTTTGCATACCATTCGACCAGTTCTACTGTCACTTTCTTTTTAAGACTGGTCACTTTGCCACAATATCATAATTATGAGGAGCATTGCCAGCTGTCACAGGCAATCATGTTTCTTCATATCGTGCAGTTTCCAGCAGAATATGATTACATTTAGTATTAATATATCACAAGAACTTTCTCTGTATGCCTTCAATGTTTTTTTTTCCATTTCTCCTTTTGTTTTTGTTACCCTATGTTTTGATTTGATCTGTTCTCTCATTGTGGCCTTCAAATATTGACTAAAAATCTTGTGATAATGAAAATAGATTACTGTAACACAGTGTTCCTATAAGGGGCCGCAATTGCTAGCAAACTTGCCTTACTGGCCCAGAGGTCAAAACTTGAATCCCCCATAAAACTCTTTTTATTTTTTCTTAACCTGCACACCCAGGTCTTCCCACCCTAAAAATGAATGCTAGGAAATGTTTTGGGGAGCAAAGGCAGCCATTGTGATAATGAACACATCACAGATTGAGCACCTGTTGATCTATAAAAATATTGGACAAGCATCATATACCCATTATGTCTCAAGTTATACTACAATAGTAAAAGTCGTCCCCATGTGGGATGCAATTTTTTGTTATTTGAAGCCCCCACCCTGGCTTCTGCCCGGGGCCCTGAATATAGCCGGGGAATAGATATGGCCTAGCCATAGATATGGCCTAACAGCTGAAAGGGGTTTCTGTGGCCTCTCCATGGGTAATCCTCATCCACATGGTGGCACTTTGTGTCACCAGGTGTTTATCGCTTGTGTGATGTCCTGGTGGGGTACAGCTACCTACCTACCTACCTCAAGCTATGAAAAAAGACACTTTTCTTATAAGGCACTTTATGTATGAGCTGTGTTTATCAGTGAGACTGGCCTTCTCAGGACTAGTCCTTGTCAGGACTTAATTAAAAAGCCCACAGGATACACATAAGCATGCTGTGGGTCCTTCTGTGGACTATTCCTCCTCAAGTTCAACATCCCTGGACACCAGACAGGAGGCATCACGGTAGATGCAGAGTGGGTGACTCTAAGAATTCATGTAAGTCAATGATGAAGGAACCCTATTGAACACCCCAAGTCTAATCTTTATCATTGGGTGAACAGGCTTAATCAGTAAGGATATAATTTTGTTTCTTGTGATAATTGACTCCTATATTTGAATTCAGAATTTCATTGATTGTTTCCAATGACTCAGGCTTTGAGATCACCAGTTACTGATCATTTTGAGGTGACCTTAGAAATCTTATCCAACTGGGGCCACCCTTCTCTTGTTGGTCTGACGGAGCTGGAGTTCTTTGACCAGTCAGGACGCCTTATTCCTATTAAATCTTCAGATGTGTCCGTACATGGAGCCAGGAGCAGCACAAACAAAGTAGACGTTATTTTCAATGGAAAGTCGAAGGTAGGCTAAACATAACAGTTATAAATATTCGTCTTTGTTTTCTTATAACTTACAAAGATCTTCTTTTTGGTAGCATCTCCGACTGATCATCTCAACCATAAGCGCTTAAATACTGTTTCTCTTGTGGGGGTTTTTCCCCATCATATTCTCTTTCTCTAATTCTGCCTCCCTCTCTTCTTCTGTTGTGACATCACAAGGCATTCTCTTCAGGTGGGCTGACTATTTTATTTGCTGTCTATGTATGTAATTCAGTATTGGTTGTATGCTAGCACTTTGCAAATAACCCCATTTCTGTTTTTAATCTCTTCTTGTCACTCCTACGGCCTTTCTCATACCTGTCATGTCTGTGACTAATAAGATAACTAATTAGTTATTTGTTTAAAAAGTGGATTTTGTTTATAGACTTGCACTTTAACAGTCATAATTTTTTTGATAATTTATAAGAAGAAGGAAACTGAAATATGTCATGACCACTGGAAAGATCTGTGGGGAAACATACAGAGGAAGACAACATGAGATATTCTCGACAACCTTTTGTCATTTCATGGGGTGAGAAATGCCAGCACACGAACTGATACCTGCTGTGGAAGATCACCAATTGTGGAGCGGCATGATAGTCCATGCCAGTCAGCAAGGCACTTGATGTTGAGATGATGTTGCACTTTTATGTGTATTTTTCTTATAACATCTTATTTTATCTCTTCCTGCCTAGACTACAAGAGAAAGAAATATGTGGAGCTGTTTATTCGATGGTCGACCGGTTGAATTTTCTATTCAGATAGTTAATCCCCATCCTGGTAAACAGTTTCACCTAGGTTCTGTCAAAGTTTGGAATTGGAATAACAAGATCAGTGTAAGTGACAAATCTTGCTTGTGTTGTGAAACAAGTCAGAAACTGTGTGAATCATAGTGTTAGCCCAATATCCGCAGATTAATGTAATTAATTGTAACTAGTTAATTTCCTTTTGGAGGTGGAGATTTTAGAGCCTAGAGTTTCATTTACATTCTTCTACAATAGGTATCAAAAAATGTTTTGAGAATTATAGGTTGTTCATCATTGATCAAGAGGTCCACACACCTGAAAGTCTTTCTCTAGCCAATTCTTCAGCCCTATGTGCAAATGTATAGGTCATCACAGAATGTCACAATTAATGAAAGAATTTATGTATATGTAGATTGTTGAATTAAGAATCCCAGGGATCTCTGTCAACATTGCACTTGAGAACTGCACAACAAGGCCCTGGAAATGCTGGACTTCTTCCGGCTTCGAGGGTATCCTGAACATGTCCTTTCTGCCGCCTTTCACCTCGCACGGTCTATCCATCATGCTGAAGCTCTCTCTTCCAAGCCGAAATGTCACAAAAACAGGCCTATCCCCACACTTACCTACCACCCTCACAACATCCGCGCCAAAAATATTTTCCTCAGGCATCTCTCCATCCATAAAGCCAACCCTGCCACCAGCACGATTTTTTCTGAACTTCCTCTAGTGGCCTACAGGCATGATCGTATCCTCAAGTATGCAGAACTTGTCCTTATGTGGTCCAGGTGACTAGTCTAGAATTCCCTAACACCACCTTCCACATACGTAAAGCATTCTACTGTACCAGCCGCAGTGTCATTTATTCCATCAACTGCAAGAGATGTGGCATGAAATACATTGGTGAAACAGGTCTTCGGCTGGCTGACAGGTCCAGACAACATCTTTTGGATGTGCAAAATCGTGCTCTGAAAACAGTACCGTTGCACTTCAGTTCCCAGGATCACCAAGGTGTCCTTAACATAGAGGTGACAGCCAGTAAATCTAGCCACTGCAGCGACAGAGTCCGCAAGTCTCTTGAGAATCGCTTTATTTATACTCTTGGGACTTTAACACCCTCCAGACTGAATTGCCAACACAGTTTTATTTAAACTCCTAGGGAATTGAACTGCTATCACAGTTTTATCTCCAACCCCCTAGTTATGGCCCCTGATACTCTACAGGGGGTATTTATTCCCTCAGCCGACACGTGTAGTCATTCTGCTGAGAAACAACCGAACCGGCTGCTTCGAGATACCAGCTTAGTGATTTTGTGTATCTGTGTAGTATTGTTTCATTTGTATGTGCTGATGAAGGCGCAATAGCCGCAACGTTCACATTTTGTTTGTATTTGTTATATTGTGAAGCCTGCTAATATACTTTTCGTTCGTTTTTATATCTTTTCTTGAGAACTGCACAACACATCACCATAAATCTAACCCATGACCTTCAGAACACTATGCAGACAGCATGATCCCTTCGTCACAGAGACCCCTGCAATTGTTCTCAGGGCTCAGGGCCAGCAGGTGCCCAGAACCAAAACATCTTTTGTGGTAGATAGTAAACTGTGAATTATACTGTATGTTTTGTAATCCTAATGCTACAGCACCACCACTTGTACTTGGTTTGTACTGTTTTTTTTTATAAGCAGTCTGTAGTGTATCCTTTGGTTAAGGTTTCTATGGGCACGTTGCTTACATTGTGTTTTTAATCACAGGCTTTCATTACTTCTCTGTTATTAAATTTATTCTGCATTTTTATTCTGTAGTCTGATGTCATTACAATCCCATAAACACACCTTTATTTCAGAATTCACACACAGGCTAAATCTATTTTTGCTTATTGTTTTTGAAGTTTTTTTAAAATGAATGATGTGTTTTATTCGTTTCACAGAATCTGGACATTGGTGCTCGTGAAATTAAAATTGTCCTTGGTGGGGAACTGCTGTTTCATGGTGAAGTGGACAAAGGATGTGGAAATCAAGTTTTTGACTATAGCAAACACATTACATTCTCACATTTGGACAAGACAAATATCTCTCCTGCAAAGAAACCCGTGACAAAGTCTGGGCTTTCGCTCAACCTTAGCAATGCTGTGGAGTCAAGTAATGTTTGTCAAAGTCCTCGTGGACCTGGTAGACAATTGCCGAATCTCATGTCTCCAACGGAAGCACAGAAATCTCCAGCCACGGAGGAGAATCAGAGAGTGACTTCTTCCAGAAGCCATCATAGCTTCAGGAGCATCTCACGCTCGTCTCAGTCCTCGGCTTCTTCCTCAGGTTCAGCTAAAGTGAAAGGTCAAACTGATGGCAGGGGAGAGGAAGGACAAGCAGATGGTCAGTTCCGAAGTGAAACTCGTACTTTGAACTATTCAACCATATTTGCGGCACAGAGTTCAAATAAATCAGTGCCAACAAGTCCTGAAGTCAGTGTGACTGACTCTGGTAAGGGTTTCTTTATTGAATACAGCGTCTATATATAGTAAGTATCTGTATCCTCCTCTTCTTCCTCTTTACTGCTTTTGGCAGTGTTTCCCAAACTTTTCTTAGTCGCGGCGCCTTTTTTCAATTAAAATTTTTTACCACCCCTTAACCTAAGTAAAGCATGACTATGCGTACTTAAGAGATTAAAAAAAAAAAAATTTGTATATATTTGAATATTTTGCAGCGCCCATGTGAAGAGGTCGCGGCTCCCCGGGGCACCGTGGCGCACAGTTTGGGAATCACTGGTTTATGGTATCAAAGGAGATATAAGGTTTTTTGCTTTTCTGGCTGCCTGAAACATAGCTACATCGTGCTGTTATAGAGTTTCTCTGATGTTATCTTTCATGCTTTTGGTCTACCTTGTGCTCCACGTCCTCCTCTTTTGGTGTATGCCTTGTAGGGTATGGCATCCTGTTAACTACCTCTCATGACCTGGGTGTGCTGTTGGGCTTTTAGAAGCTCTGTCTATATTGGTTTTATTAATTAGTAAACTTTGCTAGTTAATCTTTCCTGTGCAGCTTGACTGTACTACCTCTTTCTTCTACTTCACATCTTTCTCTCTTTCCAGGCAATGGTGTTATATTGTGCTGGTGTAAGAATATCTATGGTAGGTGTGATTAGCAAGGCCCACTAGTGTTCAGAAATGTCTTCCACAATTAGAGCATTAGATTTCAGGAACATTGTAGCCATAATTTCTTTTTACATTTGTACATTTTACATTACTTATGTTTTTACTGTTATTTTTTAGTAACCTTTTCCTCAAATGTTAAACTGTTTATGTGTGCGTGTGTGTAATGTACTGGTACAGTAAGAGAAACAATATAGGCTTTCAGATAGACATTGTTTCAGATTTTTAATTTCTCCATGTGGGTCCCACGGCCCTATTATAGGGAAAACAAGAATAGACCCACTGCCTACCCAAAAGCATGTTGTAAGAGTCGACTAATTGGGAGCTTCCTTTGAAGTCGGAGTGCATATGCCTGAGAGGCAAAGAACCAGCAGACTGCATACAAATGAGTCAGATTGTAAAATGGATGCACATGCAACACTTGGGTTCTGGAACAGGACTGCAGTCCAAAAGTGGATAAACAACCAGAACTTTCCACCAGAGTTTACAGCTGGTGAACACGAAGAAGAAGATTTTTCAGTCATAAAAAAATGGCATATGGCAGGGCTTTTCAAATGGTGGCCCACGGGCCAAATCTGGTATAGTATTAATGATCTTTGTGTGCTGGAGCACGGCCCTCTGGCCTGTGACGATCCTCGTTTTTAACATTTTGGCCCCTACTAAACTTAGCTGAATAGCCCGTGGCCAATGGCAAGAGTTCCCAACCCATAGGTCACCAACCCAATTGGTTTCATCAAGGGTGTTTTCTGGGGTCACATGGCATTCGTAAGTTGTCAACATTTTAAAACCAGAAAAATTACATCATCCTGTCCTGCACAGAGAAAAAAAATATTTTAAAGTATTTTGAATGTATTTTCATTCACTCTAATATATATATATATATATATATATAATATATATATATATATATATATATATATATATATATATATATATATATATATATATATATATATATATATATATATATATATATAAAACATACAGGGTCACAGGTCACTTTGCCTCTAAAATGGGGTCACGAAAAAAAAATTGGAACCACTTGCATCTGACTTGTCAGGTCAGAAGTGAAAATAAATTTGGCAGTAAAAACAAAAACAAAAAAGTTTTTAAATGGAAACACAAACTGGGGCTCTTGAAACATGTATAGAATTAATTATTGTTTTCCTTCTGCTGAAACAGGCAAGATGCTTCCTGAAAAAAATTGCATCTCATTTCATAAGCTGTCAGGCCTGGGAACTGGTAAACTATGTTAGTTAAGTGAGCCAAGAAACAGAAGTATGTCTGAAAAGGAGTAGTTATATGACAGTGTTTACAAATGTGTGGCTGCTCTTAACTAATGAAATGACACTTGATTTATATTTAGTGTAGAAGTTTCATTTCCTTATATTTTGCAGATCTGTCTAAAATACCAGAAAAGAAGAGAGCACAAACCCCTAAGAAGACCAACAGTATAGCAGCTAGACTAAGTGGGAAATCAGTGGAAACTGAAAGCTCTTCAAAATCTAATACAGACAGGTAGACATGATTCTCTGATATAAATTACCTCACTCTCACTAACACATTATTATAGTTGATGTGCACAAATTAAATATTTAAAAAAAAACTGGTGGTTTTAATATTATTATTATCTATGGTTGTTGGTTGGATTTTAAAATTTTTTTTTTATTAATAATGGGACGGTCTCTGATTTCTAGTCAGTTTTATATAGCATTCTAACAACAGGACAAAGAGGATGGTGTGTCACTGAGGCAAAATGGCTTATGCTTTGTTTGGTTTCAGGAGGCGTGTAGCAGCTAAATACTCTCATGCCAGCCTGAAGGTCTGGTTCAAATCTGCATTGAGGCAGATTTTTGTGAAAATTGACAGTGGCTCCCAGGTTGACCTTGTCTAAAGTGGGTACCAGATGATGCCCTGAGAAGTAAAGGCACTTGGCATGATGTTGACAGCATCATCCATTGGGTGCTGATTGGTGCATAAAAATATGAGTGTTGCCTGCACATCTGTTTTACCAATCTGACTTATTTATATGCAGACTGGGGGAGTTTCTTGCCTCTCAGGCAGATGCACTCCAACTTTGAAGGAAGTATCCGTTAGTCAACTCCTAACAACATGTTTGTTGAGAAGGCACTGGGTCTGTTCTTGTTTTCCCCACCATGGGGCTCCAAAACCACCCTCATGGGAATTTGATTAGGGTTATATGTGTTTTAGTACTTCACAGCCCATTCAAAAACTTCAACCCTCTAGATAAATGGTTCTCAACCCGCTGGTCGTGACTCTTTTTGTGTGTGGGTAGAATGACCCATTCACAGAGGTCGCCTAAGACACATATTCATTGAAGTTAGGAAGGAAAATAATTGTTTGGGGGTCGCCACAACATGAGGGAACTTTATTAAAGGGTCGCGACATTAGGAAGGTTGAGAGCCACTGCTCTAGATACTTACCTCCCATCCTGTCAGACTTTACCAATAGGAGAAGCCTGTAATAACAGTTTATGTAAGCTAGGTTTTGATTTGCAATTATATTACCATCATCATCATCAGATGACTGGTATGAGCGATCATGCTTCTCCACATCTTGTGATCTACATCAGCATGTGTCTTGTACTCACCCCTCAATGCCACAACAAAATGCTGACAAGATTCATCTCAGCTTGTCTTCCTCTATGTCTCTTTCCTCAAATTGTCATTATGTATTAACATAAATTTATCCACAGCTATGAGTCCAAACCGCCACTACCACCTACTGAGAAGTCTAATGAAAAGATCAGTTCCTCATCACGTTCTGTTGACAGATCATCAAACATGACCAAATCAAAACTCTCACCAAAATCATCCCGATCAGAGCCTCACATGTCACCACAGCCCAACTCAACATCTGCAAACACCAGCCTGGCAAACAGTTTACTGGTTAAAAGTCAAGACACAAAGATAAAAGTTGAGCAGGACCGATCTCTTGTGGACAAGATAAAAACAATGGGTCAAAGGTGAACATTCACATGCCTTTCTAATAGTAACTGTAACTGGAAAATTATAACAACTATGGCTTTTGATTGTTATGTTGTCTAGTTTATCTTCTTTTTTTTTTTAAACTTCTATGTGTCTATCAGAATATTAATACATTTGTTCCTCATAGCTTTTCAATGGCCCGCATTTATATATGATAAATACTGTCCTTGAGAAGAAGAACATACACATCAGCTACCGAATTGCCCAGTGGCTCGCTGGTAGATGACTTTGTCGATGATCGGGACAGTATTTGAGTCTGTCTCCTTTGATCACATCAGCACTGCAGGAATCGTTTTTAGGGCTCTTGGTGGTGTGCAGTGCAAAGCCAGTTTATAAGGCACACATAACCATGTCACAATTATAACTTAAAGCTCCCCCTTCAGGGGTGCTGGCTGAATGCAGTGATTTTTTTAATTGTACTTCCAGCAGAGCACCGACCTACTTAGAAGAAGAACTTGGAGGCTAGGGGGATGTATACTGTAAATACCATGGACTGACAGAGTGACTAACAACTATCTGGAAAAGGTTAATTAAATTAGAGAACTAAATACAACTATAAGAAAGAGGCAAGTCAGTGTTCTTTGGTCATGCGATGAGAAGAAAGGCATTTGAGAACAACCTGATGACTGGAAAAACAGACCATGCTCAGCAGCCTGAAAGGATGGCATGCTGGAATATCATCAGTGAAATTGATTCAAAATACCAAGGACTGAGATCTGAGTAGAGACCTGAGAGTCTCCGCCACTGGGCAGGGTACATGACGATGATGATGATGTTTTATTTGTAACATGTCTGTTCTCTCAGTATATCAGCCTTGATCTCTCTTTAATTAGAGTTATATTTTGTTAACCGCCAATTGAAACATTTAGCGATTGTAATGCAGCTTACACAAGATACAGAATAGAACTTTATAGTGAAATAAAATATGGAAAATATGATATATATTGTGCATTTCTTTGTCGAACACTAGAAAAACTTTGATAATGAAGACACAAAAAGAAGTTTCATTTTATTTTCCATTACTGTTTATTGTTTTTACAACCATTCTTTAAATGGTAAAAAAAATTTTTTATTGTTATTTTTATTCTGTTTGATAATTATTAATTTTGGGAATGGTTATTTGGGGACTGGTGGGGGGGGGGGTGGGGGGGGGGGGGGGGGGGGGTGGGGTGGGTGGGGGGGGGGGGGGGGGGGGGGGGGGGGGGGGGGGGGGGGGGGGGGGGGGGGGGGGGGGGGGGGGGGGGGGGGGGGGGGGGGGGGGGGGGGGGGGGGGGGGGGGGGGGGGGGGGGGGGGGGGGGGGGGGGGGGGGGGGGGGGGGGGGGGGGGGAAGTTTTTGTCTTTTCAAACATTTTTGTTTTTGGTGGGACAGAAAGACCTATGGAGAGTTACAGGTGTAATAAAAATAAAATCTGTTGCTGCAAACGTTACTAGAGCACAATTTAATGTGATAAGATTCACCTTTAAAAATAAAATATTTAAAAACAAAACATTTCAAAGCTTACACTTAAAAAGTGTTATCGAACATTGGTTGGTTAGTTTGGTTTGCAGTTCTCTGAAAGACTGGGAGCTTGGTGCTCAAGTATCGGAACTTTAGGAAGAGTTTTGAATTTTTTTTAAGTGAGGCTATTATAGAGACTTTCCTACTAACCAAATACTCTTTCTTATCAACCTGGTACCAGAATACTATCTCCACAGGGACAGCGTTCTAGAGCTCTCCGTGCCCTCTCCATGAACCAACTGAATGTGCTCACTGGCATGGGCAATTGTGCTGCTCCACAGTCTGCGATTTTCAACAGCATGTATCAGTTCATGTGCTGACACCCATCTGTACCATGACAAAAGGCTGTCGATTATTATCTTGGGTTGTCTTCTTGTATCTCTCCTTCCACTGATCTTTCTAGTGGTTATAACGTGTTTCAGTTTTCCTCTTCTCATAACATAACCCCCCCCCCCCCCCCCCCCCCCCCCCCAAAAAAAAAAATAACTGACGTGATTCAGCCATTATACACAGTTATATTGTGGCACCACAAAGCAGTTACAAAGTAACATGCAGTTTGTGTGGGCGGGTCTCTGTATTTAATGTTAACTGATTTCTAGTCAGTTTTGTATGGCATTCTAACCACAGGACAAAGACGATGGGGTGTCACTGTGGCAAAATGGCTTATGCTTTGTTTGGTTTCAGGAGCCGTCGTAGCAGCTAAATACTCGCCTGCCAGCCTAAAGGCAAAAATTGTTTGGCTTGTAGAATAAGACTATAATAACATTCCAGCACACTGTTGACAAACTGGATAAAAACGTGCCTGGAATGTCACATAAACTTGACCTGTATCGCTACTTGCAGAGAAAAAATGTGTAATAATTTTCAGGCTTTCTCTTGACAGCATTAGGCTGGAATTTCTTCTTTTTTTGTAAGTGAAAGTTTTGATACTGCAAACGGACAACTATTCACATTATGCAATATTGCCCTGTGTCCTAGACTAATAAAAATGCACTGTCAAAACTGTCAATGCTGTCTGTATTTACCGGTTTTTCGAGCGGTGTAGATTGGGGAGGGGGCGTGGGAGGTGGGGGTCCTGAGCCTAAGTATTTAGGCCAGGTAGCTAGAGCTGTTGCCACAGACTATGAAGGTTAGGGTGTTTATTTGTGCCCCTGATGACAGCAACAACTAACTAAATAATTCTTAGCAGCCTAGAGCCCTCAACATTTTTATTGATGTTTATATTAAACAACATTCAGGTTATTTGAGATTCTGTGAAAAATAAGAACAAATCTTCAAATCAAAAAAAAAAAAAAAAAGAAAGAAGAATATCCAGTACTTTACTGCTGGGCAGTAAATCAGCAGCTCTGTAAGAAGCCTGGATGGACATTTAATATCCCATCATTAGTACAGTTGTAGAGGAGTGGCTGGCCAAGTGGGTACAATGTCAGGCTCTCATGCGGGAGACACAGGTTCAACCCCCGGTAAGGTGATAAAGTTTCACTGTTGGGAACAAAATTAAACATTCTGACCTTCACAGTGTGGCGACAGCACTAGCCATGCGGCCCTAAATCCTCAGGCTTATGACCCCCTGTCTACACTGTTCTAAACAAAAAAATGGTGAAACAGACAGTAGTGACGGTTTGATAGTACACTTTTAACACAGTCACTTTTTATGTTAAGGAGCAATGAGTTTCTTCTTTCTTTCTCTGAAAATGGGACCTCAAAACTCACATGGGGAGGGGAGACTAATCTGAGGTAAATGACAAGAAAAAGAGCAAAAAATTCTGGGTTACCATGAAAAGACCTGAGCAAAGTAATTTGGTTGTTTACACATAACAGAATTTATGTGTAAGATTATTTTAGATCTTTAGTAGCAGTTCATTTCTGTGATCGGCCTGATGCTGACCACATCATCCATCTCGTGCCGATTGGTCTATAAAAAAAAAGGTCTAGCCCTGTATGCCCTATAGGCCTGAAGACGTGTAAAAGGACCTTTACTTACTTTTTTTAAAAATTACATTTCCGTGATTGATTGCTTGTCTTATAAGTGTTATTTATTAGCTTACATGTTTTGATTTCTGTGAAATTCACAAGTAAATTGATTTTTCCCCTTCTGTTCTGTGTTGAAAGAACTCATTGTAACTGTAATTACAATAACAGTATTGTGTGATTTCAGTGAGAATAAAAGAAAGAAAGACATACCACGATGGCTGAAAGGGGATGAAACAGCTGGTAATATTTCCTTTAATGTATTCCTACATTTTAATGTCAGCAGAACTGTTTGTTAGTCATTGAGTGCCTATATTTGTCTTACATTTGTTTACATCATGGGTAAAAAATTTATCCAAATTTATAAGTTGGCAAAAAACATAGTTGAAAGGTTAAAGGCAATTTCAACTGTCAGTTCTAGTATTTGGATTTGTGTGTTATTGTAATTCTCTTGGGGAAGTCATCTCATTGTCATTCGCAATGTTTATTTTCATTACTGTGAGAGTTGAGGGACTTGTTGAAACCTGATGGAAAATGATCTTGTCTCTTGCAGATTTACCTGAAAATGAGAGCGGTAGAAAGTCCACATCTGGGTTATTGAGAAGGGCAGGAGGGAAGGTGGAGGATGAGGCAATTCAGAAACAGTTGGATGAAGAGCTGGAGAGATTCTCACAGTCTAGGTAAGTAGTATTTGGCTTGTGTCCGTTACAGTTTTCCATTGTGTCGGAAAATTATTAACTTTTTTGTAAGTACTTTTTCTTTTTCTTCGTGTTCACCTACTGTAAACTCTGGTGGAAAGTTCTGGTTGTTCGTCCACCTCTGGACTTTAGTCTATCCCAGAACCTGAATGTTGCGTGCGCATCTGTTTTACAGATCTGACTTAATTGTATGCAGATTGTTGGTTCCTCACCTCTCAGGCAGATGCACTCTGATTTTGAAGGAAGCTCCCACTTAGTCGACTCGTATGACATGCTTGTTGGGGAGGCAGTGGGTCTGTTCTTGTTGTCCTCACAATGGGACCCCAAAACCCACACGCGGATTTGTAAATGCTAAACTGTTGCAAGAATTCCCTTGTAACGCCCATTAGGAAAGGGAATACTCGCCTACTGAGTCAACACTGTACTCAGAGTTGTAAGGAACTTGAAGGGAACCCTTAAAAACAGTCAAGTTTATCACAAGAACTTATCTGTCGGTCATTATGTCTAAACATTATTAACTAGTTAAGTACTACACTATGTACCAGTGAGTGACTGGGTATTGCTTATTTGTACCTCCAGTCAACATGTTATGCATGTCTGTACATCTTACATTTGTCAGGGTATGCTAAGGCACCAACCAACAATATGTCTCTTAGAAAGCCCCGGTATTTGGACCCTGTAGGTCAGTGGTTCTCAACCTTCCTAATGCCCCGACCCTTTAATACAGTTCCTCATGTTGTGGTGACCCTAACCATACAATTATTTTTGTTGCTACCTCATAACTTCAGTGAATATGTCTGGTAGTCTGGTAGTCTTAGTTTCAGCTTCATAGCAAACGGGTCACCCCATCTTTGCTCCGCTCCTGTGCCAATGAAAAACACACAGAATGTTTATCACAGTATTAGAATTGCAGTTCATCATTGATGGTAGCAGAAGTCGCCAACAGATCAGCAGTTGCCCACGCGATCAATTTTAATCACATAGGGGCACCACAACACTGCACGACAGGCATTGCGCCATTTTCTGAATCTACAATTCACACCAACACGTTGGTCACAGTCGAAAAAACATTCCAAATGCAATCCGCAGCTCACAGGGTCACGCCATGCATTCAACTCAAAAGCTGGGTGACGAAACTATATCCAGTCTACAAATGGAGCAAAAATGCATCGGCCACCGTCTGGCAGAAGCAAACAATTTGCCTCTGTTTCAAACAGTCCAGCTGCCTAACATCCATTTTGACCGGAAGTGAATATGTGTTTTTCGAAGGTCTTAGGTAACCCCTGTGAAAGCGTCGTATGACCACTAAAGGGGTTATGACCCACAAGTTGAGAACCGCTGCTGTTGGTGTAGTACACCTATGAATTTATTGTTGTCATTATTGCCTCACTCAGACATTAGCTACAGATGCTTGTTTGTCTGCCCGAAAATATTGGGTGCAAATCAGAATTGAGGCAGATTTTTTAAAATTTTTATTAACTGACCTTGGCTTCCAGTTTTACCCTGTCAAAAATGGATACCAGGTAATTTCCTGGGTAGTAAATGTGGTTGGGCTGTAAAGTGCAGATATTATAGCCTAGCTGTAAACCACAAAATAACGCGCTTACTGTCCTTTTAAGGGCAAAAATAGAAGATGATATTCTTTGCTGAAAAACTGGCATAATTTTAGTTTGTTATTGAACGTTAACCTTTGTATGCAATGACAGAATTATTGATGTAAGAGGAATGTGTTGTAAACTTTTAACAATTTCACCCATCTTTCAACAGCAGCGGAAACAAGGACAATCCAAGTAAGAGCATGCAAGGTAGGAAATATCTTCTTTCTAGTTTTGTTTTGTTGGTAATGCTCACTTTGAGGTTTTCCCAAAGATGTACAGGCTGACTGGCTGGCAACCAGAGCAAGACTAGCAAGGACACGAAGGTTGAACAAGAGAGACATGGTACATGGTACAATATGATTACTTTTTGAATTGGGAAGCAAATCAGTGACTTTATGCAGCTATTACTGATACAGTTTGGGGTCTGGGATGTCATTTATTAAGAAAAAAAAAATTATTTCAGATCCAATTTAAAAAAAAAAAATTTTTATTTGGCGATTCTAATATTTAAAAATCTATCTTCTTCTTCTTCTTAGCATTTACCAGCAGTAAACTGGTGGAAAGTTCTGGTTGTTTGTCCACTTCTGGACTTGGGTCTTTTTCCAGAATTTTAGTTTTGTTTGTACATCTGTTTTATAGATCTGTCTCATGTGTATGCAGACTGTTGGTTCCTTGCCTCTCAGGCAGATGCACTACAACTTCAAATAAAACACTCAAATGACTGTCTTTTCAACATTCTTTTTACGGTCAGTAGGTCTATTCTTTGGGGCCATGGAACCCACAAGGGAAATTTATAAATTATAATAAGTTCTTTAGTATGGCTATAAAAATAAAGTAAGGGGTCCCTGGCAGCCAGACCTCCAGGGCGACCCAGGATCCGCTGGGAAGACAACATCCTTTAGTGACAGAGAACTGGAATGGAACAAAGCCAGAAAGAAAACTGCAGATAGAGATATCTGGTGATCTCTCTAGCAAACCTCTACACCCCAAGGTAGAAGAGGAGCGACTAAATAAGTAAGTAAGTCCCTGACATACCTTTGAAATTAAGAAGTGTCCCAAGGTCCCCTAGCTAATTGGGAATCACTACAAGAGGAGAACAGACCCGATTTTGTGTGGGTGTGTGATCATCTGATCACAAGTACTGTGAGTATCCATGCTCTTTGAATCTTCTGAGAGCAGATTTGGACATACCCTGATTGCTGTGCTGCAAGTGTTAAACAATAAATTCTGACAACTTTTGCCTCATGCAGAATTGTTAAGATAATGTAGATGCTTTGGATGGAACCTTTGAGGAGAAAATTAGTCTCCAGCAAATACATTCTAAGTAGGCTGCACTGACTTTTGAATGAGAAAAATGTCTAATTATGTTAACCCAGTCTAAAGTGAGTACTAGGAAATGTTCTGGAAGTTGAGATGGTCGATGTGATATTGACTATGCTACCGGTTAAGGACCAGCTGGACTATAAAATATAAAATAATGGGGCCAGCTCTATACACTCAGTATCTCTCAAAGCATGGACAAGCGTCTTTTGTTTCACTTTACTTGGCAATAGCACACTTCTCTCAAAACCACGCACAAAAAGGAACACAATTTACAAAAGAATTGTTTCGTTTTTCAATTTTAAGTTTGTTTAAAGTTTCAAGGCACTTTTTAGAACTGTAGAACAGTCTTTACTGCCTGCATTTACCACTTTTAAGGTTGGGGGAGGGGGGGGGGGAGCTCTGTACACCTAGTATCTCTGAAAGCATGAAAAAGGATCCTTTATCTTACTATACTTGGCAATAGCACACTTCTCTAAAAAAAACATACCCCCCCAAAAAAAGCACTCCTTAGAACTGTCTTTACTGCCTGCATTTAGCACTTTTAAGAAAGGGGGGGGGTGGGGGGGTGTCACCCTGAGGATTTAAGTTCACGTGGCTAGTGCAGTTATTATGTACTGTGCTGGTTAGGATTATTACTTTTGCCTCCAACAGAAAAAAAGCATCCCTTACCCGAGGATCGAGCCAGGGTCTCCAGCATGAGAGCCCATCATGCTAACCACAGGGTAAAAGATTTTAATAAACAAATTAATTAAGTTGATGCCTTCAGTAACAATATCCAAATTTGTTGTGTTTTTCCCCCATTTCATAATAGAAGAGAATGATGTCCTAGTCCCACTGAAGAAGACAGATAAAGCCAGGGCCAGGTGGAGGAGTAGAGATGAAAACCTGGAGGAATCATGGGGCTCTCTTTCCTTCTTCAACAAGTCCCACAGAGGCAGAGTATCTGTTGATATTGCAGGTTGGTGCTGGTCAGAACATATACTTGTTCTGTGTGCTCTCTGTAGGACTGACATCATCATAATCATGTTATGTCATTATGTGTCTCATTTTTCTCACCTTTAGGCACATTGGGCATAAAGTGCTAGTCTGTATTTTATAGACCAAGTGGCACTCTGTGGGTGATGTGGCAACCTTTTCTTCCCAAGACTTGACCTGATACCCATTTTAGGCTGGGTTAATCTGGGAGCCAGGATCATTTTTTGAAGAAACAAAAACCCAGCTCCATGTGGATTTGAACCTGCAACCTTCTGGCCCAAGGCAAGATACTAGCCGCTACATTGCGGCAGCTCCTAAATGTCACATAGAGCTCACAGTGTATTCCTCCATTCTGTTCTTGTGCAGATATATCAGTATCTTGGATGGAATCCAGTCCAGCACCTTTAGCCTGTCTGATCAGCGTTCATCTTAGGGGTTCTTTTGGACATCTTTGTTTTCTGAGTCCATTTGTTTCCCATTTAAGTGCCTGTTTGGGGATTCTCTCATTACTCGGGGTGGGCCTACAGGACAGAATTGGACGGGAGAATAGACTACAAGCCTAATATGACATATAACAGCACCTAAGGATGATGATAAAGATGATGAATTGTATTTTTTTTTTACATTTGTTGTTGTTGTTGTTGCACTTAAAATATACCTAGATGGCTGACCCAAGCAACAAATGCTCGAATAAGTCGGATATGCCAACTAAATGGTGCAGATATGGCAGCCATGCTGTAAGTAGGTTTAGTTCAGTTATGTCTCTTGATGAGCGTAGAAGAAGTCTGATTCTTATTATTTCGCTTATTATAAACAATTATAGTTTATAACAACTGCTGGTTTCTTTATTTTGTAAACAATTCAAAGAAATAGTGATTATTTCAGTTTGTCACCTCAGTTGATTTGTAGTAGAATTTTCAATTGTAAGTCAATCTGAAGACTGAGATTAGAATTACTGTTACCAGCATTAACCCATAATTTGTCAATTTTAAGCTGAGTTTTTAGTGTGTGCATCAAGAGTTAATGGGTAAATTAATTACTGCTTCATGCTCAGAGCTCACTTGTGTGTTAAGATTAAAATTTGCAGCTGATAATCCATTCAGGCTTTGATACTATTACTTCTACAGACGATGAACTTGAGGAATATTTAAGTGTGTCCAGAAAGCCACCCCCAGAAATTGCAGACAGTGCACCTAAAGTGTCTTCTCTGTCCAATGATGACTGGTTGGATGAGTAAGTCTGATAGTAAATTAAAAGTAAAGGACTCTTTGTATGCCAGTGCTAAATCAGATTTTATAGACCATGCAGTACTCAAGAGTGTGATGTGGTCAACATCACGGATGATGTTAACATCACGCCAGCCTCCATTACTCCTTAGGACAGGGCTGTTCAACTGGCAGCCTGCCGGCCAAATCTGGCCCTTGAAGGCAATGCAAGTGGCTTGCGGATCATTGCGCTGTATTGTATTCATTTTGACCCTTGCATAAACTTAGTTGAACAGCCTTGACCTAGGACATTACCTGTTGCCAGTTTTCTGATGAGTTGACCTGCGAGCTAAGGTCAGTTTAAAAAAAGATAACCCTTCTCAAAGCGAATTAAAACGCAGGACATTTTTTGCCAGCAGGCAAGCATCTAACCACTTTGGCATACAAGTTTTCATTAAATATTTTAAAGAATCGTTGATTGCTTTGTATCGTTAAATGGAAGGCTGTGAATATAATTCTTATTGCCAATGCATGGACACGTAGGTTGTGCTGAGTTAAGAACCAGCATCCTAGTACTCAGGACATTTCCATGAGTGCTCCATCCCTATCTTCAGCAGCCAGTGCAAAGTTCCATTTCTGAAAGTACCAGTAACATTTTGACTTTCCCTTGAGTGTTAGCCAGATCCCCTGGTCATTTCCCACTGCACCATTCTCTTCAGACCGCGATGATACTTTGTACCTTCATATTATTCACTAGCTCTCATAGGACCTTGATAACATCCAACCTGTTAGATATCATTTTACCACCAGGTGGTGTAAAACCAGCCAATCTGTCTGCCTGTTTGTTTTCCAACACCTGCATGCCATGGAAATATATCCTGAAGATGTTAACCACACAGGAAGTCTTAAGCGACGCTTGTCACTCTGCATGCAAAAAACCTGCCTCCACTTTTCTCAGCATGCTTTGTGAGTGTTATACAGTCACAGTATGTGTGTGCAGCTGGTTCTCAAGCCAGTAGAAGGCTGCAGTAACTGAGGAAGATATACCATCAAGACAGTAGAAGGCTGCAGTAACTGAGGAAGATATACCATCAAGCCAGTAGAAGGCTGCAGTAACTGAGGAAGATATACCAGGCTTTCATAACACAAAAGGTTGTCCATTTACTTTTGTAATTAACCCCCCATAAACTTCTTCTGCCTCTCAACATGCAATATGAAGTCATCTGTAGAGGTAATCACATCACATGGTCTGGAATTTAGGTTGTCTAAGCCTTGAAAAAGGTTTTTATCTATATGAGTAAGTTGGATATAGAGACTTGCTTCCCAACCAGGTACCAAAAATACCATTTCAACAGGGATTGTTGTGCCGAACTCTCCTTTCCTACTCCAATCTCAGAAACCAGTGAGGTTTGCAAACTGGTACTGGAACTTCAGTCTATGGAGAGCCATGATGATCCTTGGAACATTGTCCAGCATAAGGTCTCTGTCTGAGTTAAGTCAAGAAAAGACATTACAGCACTCAGGGCATTCCAATGTGTGCTTCGTCCTCATCTTCAGCAGCCAGCTCAGAGTTCCAGTAATGATGGTACCGGTCACAATCTGGTTATATGCCTGTCTTGCCTTTCCTCTGAGTGTAGTGAACGGGCCAGACTCTCTGATAGGGTTCCTGTCTGTAGGCTACCAGATCTTGACCACTGGGCCTCAATGGCTTTTTTGCAAAGATTATTTTCAATATTTTGATATGATTGCGCTGCAGTGTTTATAATTTTTTTATTGGGGGGGGGGGGGGGGGGGTTAATCATTGAAAGGTTACTTTATAAAAAAAAAAAAATTTTTCCATTAAACCTTAAAAATGGTGGTTGTCATTTGAAATTGTGGATATCTGCATCTTTCAACCCAACACATCTCATTTTAAAAAACTAGTTTTCCTGTGACTACATGCCTGTTAGGGGGTAGTGAGCTGTTACCCTCCCTCCCCTCCCCCAAATAGGGCCCCTGGAACCCACACAGGATTGTGATACTATGAGATGGCAAACCAGGATCTCCCAGTTTCCGTACGGCACAGGATCCTGCAGCTGCTTTTTTTCTAGACCATAAGAAGCAGAAACTATTTTATGCAGGTTACATTTATGTACTATGGAAGTGAATGGAGTGACAAACAGACGCTCTTCTCTAATTTTTAGTTTAAAAATAAAATTGTTTTGCTTTGTGAACTTTCTGCAGTGTGGCAGTATTGCCATAATGATTATTATTTTTTAAATTTAAATTTCAGTGATTCAGAGTTCACTATCCCTGAGCTACCATATGGAAGAGAACTGGTTATTAACATCAAAACTACCTGGGGAGATCACCATTATGTTGGTCTCACTGGCTTAGAGCTTTTCTCAAATCTGGGAGAAAAAGTACCAGTTGCCAAGGTCTGTATAACTTACAATAATTAGTTAATTGGTCGCAGATTCGACTTCATGGAAATTGGTCATCCAATAATTACCCTATTCCTATGCCAGCAAAAACCACACTAAATTTCCATCACCAAAAAAATGAAACAAACTGCAGTCTTAGAAAGTCAACATCATACACACATTACAAAAAGTATAACACTATTTGCAGTTCCATGTACATTCTTTTCAGGGCCACGTTAGCACAGTCGATAGGAGACTCACTTTCGAATTCAGCTGCACTGCAACCCTGGGCAGATTTTTTCAACCAGGCAGTTCCCGGGGTTCACCCAGCCTCTGGGTAATAGGTACCAGAGTTAACACTCTGGGGTACATGGAGGAACGTCGCTGTAGCTACGGAGTTTCGTGTTGATGGTGACACAAGCAGACAGTTTCTTATCAGCTGTCCTACTGGTGGCGGAGCACTTATGGTTTATTACCATGTGCAGTGACGCTGGTTCACATCTCCCGACTTTACCTGTACCTTTCTCTTTTAGTTATAGCTCTCCATACAGTATTAAAAGACACATCTCCAGTGTGTGATAAAAGGGGAGAGGTTCAACACTATTCTTTTTCTTCTTATTCTTCTTCCTTTATCCCGCAGTGGAGCATATGCCCCTAATCAGCTCAAGCCAAGTGGTTCTATCCTTTCCTATTGCATGCAGCTCACCCCATGTCCTCCCTATCTTTTTACTTCGCTCTCTAGCTCCCTCCTGCAGACGTTTTTGATCTGCCTTTATTTCTGCATCCCATTATAAGGACATTCTCAGGTTTTCTCACTGTGTGCCCGATCCAATGCCAGTGTCAATATCATTGCTCCAGCTTTATCTTATCTGTCTCAGTCTCTCCACAAAGTGACTTGCTGCCTGCCAAGATATTGCACAAAGCATGAACTCGATAGATTTGACAGCATTAATCTCTAGTCCACTTTAGACATTTATCCATATAATCAAAATTATAGGCAAAGTTAGCATACCTAAATTATGATTATTTATACATATTTGCAGTTGAGCTAGCAGTTTTCTGTTTCATTTTTTAATCTGGCCCCACAGTTTGTTTCTTTAATTAGCATATGCAATTTGGTGAAGCATGCAGATGAAGGAAGCAAGTTAAGTAATTTACTCCCCCTCAGTAAGGTATGGGGATGATCAGAGGAGTGGTTAAAGCCTCAACCCCCGGTAAGGAAGTGGATGATCTTCTCCTGAGGCATTAGAAAACCACCTAACCTGTGCAGTCCATGTGACAGTCCTAATCATGCAGCCCTAAATCCTCAGGCTCATGACCCCCATGTCTATGTCGCCCTGAAAAGGGGTAAATAGAGACAGTAGTGACTTTTTCCAGAGTGGACCTGGAAGTCAAGGTCAATTTTGAACAGAATTGGTATCACTGCAAATTCAAACCCAGTACTCTTGGGATAGCAGCAATCAACTGGAGATTATAAACATCCTGTTTACTGATGAAGCCTGTGTTTATTCACGCTATATCGACTGACATTTTTTGCAGATTTGGGCAAATCCTAGTGACATTAACATCCTACCAGAGTACAACAAAGACCCTCGTGTGGTCACCAATATCATTGATCAGGTCAACCGTACCCGAGATGATGTCCACATGTGGCTAGCCCCGTTTAACCCAGGAAAGGATCATTTCATCTACATCACTTTTGTCAAGCCTTGCAAGCTTGCGCTGATGAGGATTTGGGTAAATAATGATTTAATTGGTTTCAGTTAACTGTTAATATCTTTATAATGTTACTTTGTGTCTTCTTCATTCAAATTCCCAACGAGAAACAGTGCTTTGATATGTTTATTCATTGCTTCAAACTGCAAAGTGGCTCTTACTGCCCCCTGAGCCGTTCCACCGCCCTAAAGATTTGATTAACAAGCTGTCATCCCAGTGATAGCGCCCCTTTGGTGGAAAACACTCTTTGAGCCACTGTGCTTTTAAGGATTTTATTTCACTACTAAAAGAAAGCGACAGTTTACTGTCGAAGCTTCAAGTATGAAGGCAGGTACTGAATTATAGTTGTGTTTTTCTTAAACTAATTTTGCAGGGATGTAAACAGAAATATGTAATTTCTAACGCAAATGAGTCCAGTGCATGTTAACTTGTAGTGATTGTGGCATTAATTATGAGAAATATGAAGAGACTTTGTTGCACACAGCACAGTTGACCTACACTTGCAGCCAGAATACCATCTGAAAATGTCACCCCTCTGCTGGGCACTGTTTGGGAGGTGGCCCATGACAGATACTGGACAGACAGACACATGGATGTTAATTTTCAATATAAGATGAAGCTTGGGCTATGTACCCAGTTTAGCTCAAAGATTTTAAAGGAGCGTATTAATTTCCACCATCATTTTATGCCATTTATACGTCAGTAGAGCTCACAGACTGTTCCTCCATTCCATTGTATCCTGTACAGTGCTTTGAACACATGAATTTTACTACTACAGCAGTTATCTTGTATTCTTTTTAAATCCTACGCAATTCTTTTGATATGTTTATTTAACCTTTACAGTAATCAGCTTGCTTGTCTGCTACATTGTATTGACTGTGACTAGTAAAATTTATGCCTCTCGAATTTTTATTAGAATTACAACAAGTCACGCATTCATTCATACCGTGGGGCTAAAGATGTCATCATCACCCTTGATGGCACAGAAATCTTTAAAGGAGAAATTGCTAGAGCTTGTGGAGGAATCGAAGGAGGCACAGAAGCTTTTGGCGATGTGAGTATCTTCTTTGTCATTAGTGAATGAATATTTTCTCTGAAATGCGTCAGAGTGCATTAGCCAATGAACGCAAATAATAGTAAAACTTATAACCTTCTATGTGTGTTATAAGAGATGACTAAACAATGTTGACACGAAGCTAGCTACCTTATTGTATAGAAAAACTAGCAAAATTTAACCAAAAATGGGTGCACCTGAAAAAGTGGATGTGCAGTTTTTGTGAAAAACGTAGTGAACAGAGGAGAAAATCAGTGTTCAGATATGGAGAGCTGCAATTTTTACATGATCACTCCTCAGAGCTCTTAAGGGGGAAAAAAGGATATTTTGTGTCTGTGTACATTTCAACAGAAAAAGTGGAATGGAGAGGCTAGCCTTTTGTATAAAAAAAATACCTGACAAGAATCAGAGGAAAGCAGAAAAAAATAAGATGCATGAAAACAGCTGGGCAGCAAATAAAGGTCATTTCATCATATATCAGACAACAGAGAGGATGGGAGTGTTATAATCACCTGTATGCGCTTTACACCAGGCGTCTGAAGAAGAGGAGGAGGAAAGGAAGGTCAGACTCAGAGCCATGCTGTTTGCATAATTTAGCAGTCTGATATTTTTTATTATAAATATTTTATCAAATAAAATTATAGCAAAAGAATAACATGAAAATGAAACTTATTAGCAAGTTAGTTGACAATTTATAATTATCTACAAAATAGAATATGTAATTGAGAATGGACACATTTAATAGTAAAAATTTTATGTAAGCAACAAAGGCAAATTGTGTAACATAAAAACTGTCTAAAGTTTTTAATTAAACAGTGCATATTTGTTTATCTTAAGGTTCTGGTCGAATACAAATAGACTAATTGTGAAGTAAATATAAAAGTGTATAAATTTGTGGGAGGAAAATGCTATTCAATTCATGAACTTAAATAATGTAATGTGCAAGCTCTATTGTTGCAGACTATCCTGTTTACCACTGATGAGAATATACTTGAGGCGGTATCACAAAATGATGATGCTTTTGAGTGTAACATGCCAGGTGATGATGAGGAGGATGTTCCTTTTGAAAGACCCAGCACAGCGAATGCGGAAGATGAAGTAAGTGGCCAGTGTTTCTGAGAAATTGTTTTCTGTGATCACCACTATCATGGACCAACAGTCAAAATTCAGTACCCAGTGGGCAGCTCTTGACAACCAACTCATCCTGATTTCTGTGTGTAGAGAATTTCTGAATTTGGATGGCTGTTTCTGTAGATAATTTCTGAATTTTGATGGCTGTTTCTGTGGTTTTTTTAAATATTTATATTTTTTTTATACTTTTGAGAAATTTCTTCTTCTTTGCATTCTCTATGTAAACTCCGACGCAAGGTTCTGGTTATTCATCCATTTCTGGACTCTAGTCCTGTTCCAGAAACTGAGTGTTGCATGTACATCGATTTTACAGATCTGACTTATTTGCATGCGGACTGTTGGTTCCTTGCTTCTCAGGCAAATGTACTTGGAAGGAAGCTCCCAATTAGTTGACTCTTACATCCTGTTGGGTAGGCGGTGGGTCTGTTCTTGTTTTCCCCCACAATGGGGCCCCTGTTGGGTAGGCGGTGGGTCTGTTCTTGTTTTCCCCCTCCCAATTAGTTGACTCTTACAACATCCTGTTGGGTAGGCGGTGGGTCTGTTCTTGTTTTCCCCCACAATGGGGCCCCTGTTGGGTAGGCGGTGGGTCTGTTCTTGTTTTCCCCCACAATGGGGCCCCTGTTGGGTAGGCGGTGGGTCTGTTCTTGTTTTCCCCCACAATGGGGCCCCTGTTGGGTAGGCGGTGGGTCTGTTCTTGTTTTCCCCCACAATGGGGCCCCTGTTGGGTAGGCGGTGGGTCTGTTCTTGTTTCCCCCACAATGGGGCCCCTGTTGGGTAGGCGGTTCATCTGTTCTTGTTTTCCCCCACAATGGGGCCCCTGTTGGGTAGGCAGTGGGTCTGTTCTTGTTTTCCCCCCACAATGGGGCCCTGGAACCCACAAGGGGATTTTGAGAAATTTGATTCTGAGGTACTTGTATTTTCCACAAATGTTTGTCTATCTTCTACTTTCTTTCTCATCTTCTCACCAATGGAGCATAGGCCTTCAACCAGATCACGCCGTCATCGTATCCTTTGCTATCACATGCAGCTCACCCCATGTCCTCCCCATGTTTAAACTTCACCTAGTTCCCTTATCTTTGAGTCTGCCTTTATTTTTATGCCCCTGTGGGTTCAAGTGTAAAGCCCTTCTAATTATATTGTTTTAAGGTTTTTTCAGAGTATGTCCTATCCAATGCTAGCATCTTTTCTTCACCTCTTGATTCACTGAAATTTGTTAAATTCTCTCCCAGAACTGTACATTAGTGATTCTATGATACCATATAATATCTTCTATTTTGCGCAAACTTTATTTTTTTTAAAATGACCTTTGTTCCCAGGTTGACCCAGCCTCAAAGGGGTACCAGGCAAAGTCCTGGGAAGTAAAGGAGCCGGGGTGGTGCACCCACCAAATGCCGATTGGTTTATAAAATATTGGTCTAGCCATATATGCCTAGTCTGGCTGAAAGTGTGGATAAGGGTCCTATACTTTTGAGGAGCTGCTGGCCGAACAGGTTAAAACATTGGGCTGTGATGTGGCAGACCTGGGTTTGAATCTTCAGATTGGTTGGGGATGTTTTTCTGTTGGGAGCAAAAATAAAATTCTAACATGAACAGTCCATGGCAACAGCACTAACCATGCAGCCCTATATCCTCAGGCTCCTACACAGCAAAAGTGGTAAATACAGGCAGTAATAGCTGTTTTTCCCACTAAAATAACAGAAAGTGGTCTCAGTTTAGTCTCCAGAAGTGATCAGATGATTGTTCTCTGTTTAATACAGCTCTGGAGAAAACCGAGCCTATAAAAGTGGTAAAAAGGAACCTTTTCCACGCCATCAGGCGTATTGAGCATATGGTGCTAGACCTATATTTTATAGACCAAGTGGCGCTCGCTTTACCTGGTACCCATTTATGGCTGCATTAGCCAGGGCACCAAGGTCATTTTTTAAAAAAGTCAGACTCAGTTCAGATTTGAACCCAGGACCTTCTGATCTACAGGTGAATGTCTAGCTGCTACACCAAGACAGTTCCCATAAAAGTGGTACTGGTGGATCTTTTTTTTTTAAATCCTTACAAATTATCTGGGAAGGAAAAGCGATTATGGATGGGACTGATCATTCCGCCTTACGATACAGCAGCCTATGGGATGATCTAACATTTCACACCTCCTCACAGTGAGAGGGGATCTCCGTGGCGAAGTGGTCATGGCTTTGTTTCACGGTGGCGCCGTTCATTTCACAAGTCCAGTTTTTACAGAGATCCCTAAGCATCGTCGTCGAAACTAGGGAGGTCATGCGACGCTCTCGGCAGACAGCGAGCTTTTCTGCGAGGAGAGAGACTGAGCCATATGGGATAACACTCAGTGCAATTAAGTCAAACCTCTCACCTTTACCTTTAGTACAGCCAGTCAGTTTGTGTGTCAGTTTGTCAGAGTTCCGACTTCAAGGCGAAGAAGTCACCCCAACATTTTTCCACTGCTGTGCCAGGGGGAAAATCACACAGAATGCCTTTCACTGTCCCATTTAAAAACTGATGAAAACAGCAGTCCCAGCACAATCTAGAACCTCACAATGCAAAGTAAATGCATAAGGCAGTCGGCAGATGTTTACACTTATAGTTCCTTACTAGAGTTGCAATTCAATGTAGATATATTCACGGTCATATCAAGCTGGCACAACACACTCAGTAATGCAAGGAGAACATGCCATTTGAACATAGTGGCCACCCGCCATTTTCAGTGCAGTTCACAACATAAAACCACCGTGGGTCTGGAGAAAATATATTAAAAACAGTACAGAAAGAAGTGTCTCGGAAACTGAAATATTTTTGTCTTGACGCCATGACAGATGGGGAAAAAATAATATGCAGAAGGCATGGTACTAGGAATTAGGGGCAGGGGGCGACCCTCACAAAAATGTGCACAGGATATAAGTGACTCCTTGAGTATGAAAGTACATGAGGTGGGACAGTTGGCGAGAGACCGATTTTCTTTCAGGCAGACTGTGATGAAAGCAACGTTCTGCAAAGGACCTGCTACATGAGGATGATGATAGACAGAACTGTCTATGTATGAGTTTCTTTTTTCTTCTTCTATGGAGCTAGCCATTTCTTTTGTCCTCAGTTGCTTACACAGTATTTCTTTATGACTCTGAAACTTGTCCTTGAACAGAATTTGCCAGAAGAAGCTGCAGATTTTGCCAGTTAAGATTCTCAGGCGTACATAAATAATAAGTTAATTAATTGACACAGTTATAGTAGTTTATATGTTTGGTTAAATAAGAGTGTGTTTTTTCTCAGACACGACCATTTACCAGAGCTGCAGGTTTGCTGGGATCTGAGAAGAAGAACAATATCTCACATGCAGCTAACTTGAATTTTGTGACTTCTGTTGGAGACGTGCTGGTGTATAAAACTAATAGTAAGAAGCTTGTTATACATCATTGGCATCTTTAGTTTTCTTTGTTTAATTAATTGCATTTTCTTCTCTTTATAACTATTATGCTAGTCTGAAATGGTTGCGGCATATTGAAAGAATGTCAGGTGACAGAGAAATTAAAACTGTATACATGAGGGAGATGAATGGTCTTAGACCACGAGGCAGACCAAGAAGACGACGGAGAGATAATATCCAGACAGACCTGCAAACACTTGGTGTCACCAAATGGAAAGAGAAGGCCAACCAGAGAGATGAATGGAGGCGGGTGATATCTGCAGCAGTGAACCTCAAAGGCTCGGAATGCTTCTTATTTGTGTTCAGCAGTTAAACTTCAGCGTAAAGTCATGGTTACTTGTCCACTTCTGGACTTTGGTCTCCCCCCCCCCCCCCCCAGGACTTGAGTGTTATGTGCACAGCCATTTTACAGATCAAGCTTGTTTGTGTGCAGACTGTTGGTTCCTCACTTGTCAGGCTAATGCACTTCGACTTCAGAGGAAACGATCCGGTCTGGATTGGCCAGGCCCCCAGTTAGGAACTTGTCTCTAGGATGACCATGTAGAGGTGTAGGCAGGTCTTGACTAGTGTGAACCCTGGTCGTGGTGCAGCACCACAAATGGGTCAGCTCCTCTGCATCCCTATTCTGCTAATGATGACACACACACTGTTTAGTATACAGGCACATCTTCAATATCTTTCTTTGTTTCTGCTTTACTTTTATTTAGCTGTGTCTCTCAATACCAGGAGATGAAGAGAATTTTGAAGCAAGCTCTGGTATATACCTTGTATCCTGTAATGTTAACTGCTCAAGCGTCTGTGTTTTTTTTGTTCATTTTTTTTTTTTTTTTTGGCGTTCACCGGCTGTGAATTCCGGTGGAAGGTCACGGTTAATCGTCCGCTTGGACTTTTGGCTTTCACCCGGACCTGATTTTTGCGTGTACAACCGTTTTAATGTTCCCTGCCTCGTGGGCAGATGTACTCCGACTTCGAAGGAGTTTTGTGTTCATGTTTTTAATGCATTTGCACATGATCTTTTATTATCATTATAACTTTGATGATCGTTACCCAAAAAAAAGTTGATTGTTTGACGTTTTACCCCACCAGGATATCACTAGAGCGATAAAAACTTGGTGACACAAAGTGCCACCATTCAGATGAGGATCACCTAAGGACAGGTCCCAGAAACCCCGTTCAACCCATAGGTGGGGTTGGGGTTATATTAGGGCCCCAGGCAACGGCCAGTTTAGGGCTTCAAATAATAAAACATTATGTCCCACGTGGGGAAGGGTGTTTTAAGAAAAAAAAATTTTTTAATTATTGTGTATCCTCTGTTTAAAACATTTAATGGACATTTATTGTTATCAATTATTAAAAATTCAATTAACGCTTTGAATAAAACATTTTATTTTTTTTGGTGTGTGCGGTTATTTGAACAATGTATATTTGTTTCGTTTCAGAACTGCAACTCATTTTTACGGCAACATGGGGTGACCTTCATTATTTAGGCCTCACTGGCTTAGAGATTGTTGGTAGTGAAGGGGAGACAATCCCTCTGACACAGAGTATGGTTACTGCTTCGCCAAAAGACTTGAGGCATCTGGCAGGCAATGACAAAGATGATCGTACTTTGGAGAAGTTAGTTTTTTTTTCTTTCTTCTATCTCATTCAGAAAATCTTATTCATCTTCTTACCTGAAGTCTTCTTTTTCTTCACATTCACCAGCTGTAAAATCTGGCGGAAAGTTCTGGTTGTTTATGCACTTCAGACTTTAGTCTTGTTCCAGAATATGAGTTTTGCTCGCGCATCCATTTTACAAATCTCTTGTTTGTAGGCAGACTGTTGGTTCCTTGCATTTATCTGTCTACAAGCTGTGTAGATATTTTATGGTTTTTACAACGGATCAGCATCATGGCACAATGGTAGTAACCCCTAAGTGCTCCGTTCTACTTCTAACTCAAGCCTGAGTCTGAAGAATCTCAGCGCAGTGCACAAACTCTGTAGCTCCGGTTAAGATCCTAAAATACTTTGGGTAGATTTTTAACTACAATTTTGCCCAGGCAGCGCCATTAGGCTACTCTTTTCAATTGCCAATTGCCAAGAGATTTTTTACATGCGCAACAATACACACAGGGGTCCGATCTTACTACCCAGAGACCAGGGGAAATTACCAGAAGTCTGAGTGCAAAAATCACAGCCTTCACTAGGGCTTGAACCCGGGACCTCTAGCACTCGAGGAGGACACCATGCTTTAAGACCACTCAGCCCCCATATAAGATAGGTATGTGTGGATGTGTGCAGGTGAATTAAACACATACACACACACACACAGGGTGTCCCATAGGTTTCTAAACAGTAAAAATTAACGTACCACCAACACCAATGCAAACATAACTCCAGCTGTGCTAATACGGGTTCTTCAGCAGTGGAGGTCACGTATGAAATGTGTTTTTAAAAAAGTGGTAGCCAGTAGAGTATAATATATAAATAAAACGGATTTTCATAAAAGTGTTTATTTTTTTCTGTATGGAAACTAATGGGACCCCCAGTATGTGTACATACACACATCTATGTGTGTGTATATATACATATAATTGTCACATACACTCACGCACAAAGCCACATACACACATATATAAAATGAAAAGGATTCTGTAATGATCAGATCAGACTTTGATAAATGGAGTTTATAATCTTTGAGCGTGTGTGAGCAACACAGAGCATGTTGAAAAAGGTGAAGACAGGCATGCTTCGTGCTGAGTGGCAAGCATCACTTCAGAGGTCCCGGGTAGTTAGCATTCTTTGGATATTTTCTCCAGGTGATGCAAGTGTGTTGGGAAATGAGCAGCTAGATAGACTGGCCGGTTCTGCACTACTTGGTGGTGAATTGATGTATGACAAGCTAGATATTGTAAGGGCCTTTTGGGAACAAATGAACAGTGCAGATGCACAGATAGATCATTACGGTCTGTGGAGAATGGCGCTGCAAGGAGTTACCCAGGGATGTGGTCGACGCTCAACACTCTGGGGAAGGATGAGACAAATATATAATAAGATGGCTACTGGTGCCATCTGAATTGGAACTCTTCGCTTGCTGCTGAAGATGTTGACAGAGCACTTATGGGAGTATCCTGAGTGCTGTGATGTCGATTCTTAATTCAACATTCAACATAATCTTTGCATGGTACTGATTTTGTGTGTGTTAACTTTAACTATATCCCCAGGTTGTTAGATGGTGTTAACATCACCTGCCTGGACTCCCACATGTGGCTGATTCCCTTCACAAAAGGTGGTAGCCACACAGTCACTGTCACATTCCCCCAGCAAACACTGGTGACTGCAGTCAGGATCTGGAATTATAACAAAAGTCCTGAGGATACGTACAGAGGGGTGAGTTTGTTTCTTCATGTGTATAAATTGTCTTTTGCTGACACTCATGTATGTTTTCAGTACAATATTAATTTTATATATACGCTCCTACTTTGGTTTTATGGATCTCCATTTAACAAATATCAAAAGCGGTGGAAAAAAATGTGGAGCAGCTAATTTAGTAATTTTCTGTTTGATAGTTTAAAATTTAAATTCTTATGTTTACAGTACACAGGTTTTTACATTGTCACATTTGATGCTGTGCTTCTTCTTCTTCTTTGTTCTTTGTAAGCTGTGGCGGAAAGTCCTGGTTGTTCGTCCATTTGGACTTTGGCTTTGTGCTAGAGCCTGAGTTTTGCATGTACATCCATTTTAGTGGCTTATTTGTGTGCAGCTGGTTGTTCCTTGCCGCTTGGGCAGATTCACTCTGACTTTGAAGAAAGCTCCCAATAAGCCGACTCCTATGACATGCTTATTAGGGAGGCAGTGGGTCTATGCTTGTATTTGCCACAATGACTTCCTGGAATCCACGCGTAATGTAATTAAAGATATTAACCACTACAGACTCCGTTCAGGTAACATGAACAGTTGATAGTATTAGTTAGATGTTACAACCCTTTTGTCCAATGAAATAAGTGTATTTTATAACTATATTTGATTTCCCGGCTTTGCCCAGGATAGTGAAAGAAAGTTTCATCATCCCATCCTTCACCTCATATTGGTCTCATGTGGTTTGAATGGACATAACAGTTAATTTTTCAAGGATTTAAGAGGAGGAAAAGATTCTAGGTTATATAACTCCAGTAAAAGTTTATTTTTTACTGGTTGTTGTAATAAATAAGAGAATTGCAGAATAACCTGGCAGCCAGTATGACTGTTAAATTAAACTTTATAGCCATAATGGCAGTTTAAAATGTATCATTCAGATTAGTAAACAGTTCATTTATAATGAACACACGAAATAAAAAAAGGGTTTATGACTTATAGCATAGATTGTGTGGGTGGGGGTTCTTTGTACTGCATGTATACTGTCTCATGAAAGAAATCTGTATGGTGATACTAAGATCATGCATATTGCTCAAAGTAATCAAGTTATTTAACCAGATTAATCAAATACAAAAAGAGACAATTTTCCACGGGCATTCAAGGCAGCATTCCATTGTTTAGGTAGGCGGTGAATGCAATCCACAAAAAAAAAGGATTGTGGTTGCTCTCTAAATCAAGTGTTTACTGCATTATTTATCTGGTACCCACTGTAAAGACACCTTCCTATATTTCAGTTTCTTGTGAACAACTTTTTGATCTGTCTTAATTGACACATCTAATTCTTATGCTTATGCTTCAACAACCGTTCACCAGTATTACTGCATCAGTTTTGTTAATGGTTTTTTTGTTGTTTGAACAATATGCGCCTAACCCAGCTGTGAAAGTTCTGTTGTAAACTCACATCCTTTCTGAACATTCATGCCCAGTCTGCCACTGTTTTCTTCGACAGATTTTTGTTATTGTACGTTACCTGCATTCTTCTATAAAGATCCGGTGTTCAACATCCTTCAGATGAAAGAAACTGAATCACCGCTCTTTGAGCTTCTTTTGATGGATTTTAGATCAACTTTGCCATTTCCTAAATAGTCAGATACAAAACCTATGCATCATGGGCTGATAAAGACATGCTCTTTTATTCATTGTTAAGTACTTATCACGACTTTGACTTGATCATGTTCAGCACACACAGTTACCTGTGTTGCAGCATGGATCGGTTTTAAATTAATGTTCCTTACATACATACCTACATACATACCTACATACATACATACACACGCACACATACATGTGCATACATACACACACACAATTACATGCGCACACAATTAAAAATATATATATCTGTATGTATATTTATATGTGTACATAAGAGAGAGAGAGATATAGAATGCTACAACTTGTGTATATTTCGTTTTTTTTTTTTTTTTCAAATTCAGGCCAAAATAATGCATGTGCAGATCAATGACAGAGTAATCTCCCCTCCTGAGGGCTACCTTCTCCGCAAGGGTCCTGGTGTTTGTCACTTTGACTTTGCCCAGGAGATCAGCTTCTCAAATACATCCCAGACACTGGGACATGGTGGTCTCAGTGATGGGTAAGTCTTCGGTTTGTTGATTACCTTGAGTTCTCGGTATTTTTTTACCGCAGAAGTTAAACACAAAATTTGTTTATTTTTTGTTTAAATTCTCTTGACTTTTAAATTAAGTTTTGTGTCATTTTTCAAAGATATTTATAAGAAGGAGAAGGTTTTTGGCAAATTCCAGTAAATTACATTTTCTGATTGTACCCTCACATTTTTATCGTGGCAGACAACACAAAAGTGTTTTAAGAAAGGCATACATGACAAACAGGCTGCTTTGCAGAAAGAAAATGGTATTTGATGTAAAAAGGGATTTCACCAGGTGGGGCCAATCTGCCAAAAACCAAATCAGGGGATAGCTTGCCAGGATGTTCAAAGCAACCACTGACGCAGTGTTTTGCTTTTGGCTCAGGTCAAATTTGGGAAGTGGTAAAACTATTGGGTTGCCCTTGATTTATGACACCCTGAATAAGGTCCAGAAATCTGAACCTAAAAAACAGACTGGCATGGTGTGGACTGCTAGTCTGCAGTATTGCATACATTACAATTCCATGGCGATTCAAAATTGCAAATAGTAGAATATGGGAAGCCGCCATGGTGTAGCGGTCAGATGCTCGCCTGCGGATGGTAAGGTCATGGGATCAGGTTTACATCATTTCAGTTGCTTTGGGAAGTCAAGAAGATTGAATTTATTGCACCGCAATACCACATTTAGCTTAGTCTCTCTCTGCAGAATGGTAGCCGCCTGCCAGGTGTGTTGCACAAAGCACAAACTCTGTAGTTTCCTCAGGAATCTCTGTGAAATTTGTACTTGTGAACTGAATGACCTGTCTATAAAATGAACCCATGACCTTCAGAGCGCGAGGTAAACAACTCAACTTCTCCAACGCAAAGTCCCCCAACTGTTTTTGAAGATATAAGATTCTAGCTCTTCTGGTCACCTTTAACCAAACAAAACTAGATAGTGGTGTAGTTTCACTGACTTTCCACTTGTAGAATCAGTAACTGGACATAATTGTTCTAAAAGTAAACCTATTCACAAAAGAAAAACCTGTTGCATGCGTATTTGTCTATAGAAAGTTAACCTTACTGACATCCTGGTTAGAAAGGCACATGGCTAAAAATGACACCATTCCCTCAAAAGAGAAAAGAAGAAGAAGATGATTCCTTCCTCTCTGCGTTCTGTAAACTCCAGCGGAAGTTCTCGGTATTCATCCACCTCTGGACTTCAGTCTTGTTCCAGAACCTGAATGTCGCTTGCAAATCCCTTTTACATATCTGCCTTGTTTGTATGCAGCCTGTTTGTTCCTTGCCTCTATGGCAGATGTACTCCGACTTTGAAAGATGCCCCCGATTAGTCGACTCCTGTGACATGCTTGTTAGGAGGCAGTAGGTCTGTTCTTGTTCCTCCCCCCCCCCCTAAATCGGGTGGGGCTCTGGAACCCACATGGGGAGAAGATTCCAGATCTGCTGACTTTATTTATACTGCTTGTTTTGAGATATGTGTTTATAAAGTCATGCATTTATGATGTCTACAGTATTGGTGTTTCTCATTCGCACTAATTAATATAATATGAGTTCTTTTCATTGTTTGCATGTCGGTTGGTAGAGAACAGCATTTGGAAAGTGCAGTCCAGATGCCCAGGGGATGTATCCTTACTTATGTGCATATTGTAGAGATTCATTGTATGAATGATACTGGTTGAATTATAGTGAGCTAACAGTCTGAAAGTAATATCTGGAACTAATATTGTATTTTGTTTGTTTCATTAAAACATTGGAGTCTAAGTAAGCAAATATTTATAAATTTAAGACACAGTAATAAGAAAAACACCAAGCAAACAAAGCAGTGTTTCACCGTTGTGAATTTGAACAAAGAAGACACAAACAATAGATTGCACAATTTATTGCCAAGCATATTTCAGTTTACAATTTATTGCCTGGTATATTTCGCTGTATCTCGTTAGGTGCATACTGTAGTAACAATTGATTAAAATGAATCAAATAAATGAATGTTTTGAGCTCAAACACAAAATCAACAACATTCAAACAAAAACTGTCTGCTTCATCAGGGTAAATGCAAGGTAAAGAGCGTGTCCTTTTATCTGTATAATTCTGGACTTAACCGGCTTATCTCTGTCGTTCAACAAATCTCAGTTATCTGCAGTTGGCAGAAGTGAAAATAATTTGAAATGCATCTTCCTTGTTTACAGTGTGCCCAGAATTCATTTCTGGATAAGCAGACAGTTTTTGAATGTAGTCGATTTTGTGTTTCAATTCAAAGGATTCATTTATTTGCTTCATTTTAATCAATTGTTACTGTAGTGTGCACCTGCCAGGCAATAAATTGTACAAACCAAGCAAACAGTCCAGATACAAATGGATGGGCAGTATAGAATTAGATCTTTACATGTGGGTTTGAGAGCTCCATTTTGGGGGACAAATAGACCCACAGTGCATCTAACAAGCATGTTGTAAAAGGCGTCCAATTAGAAGTTTGCAGAAACTGGATATGTTGGGCCAAATGGTGCAGATATTGCAGTCTAGCTGTAAACCGGTGATTCCCAAACTGGGGGAGCTGCGACCTCTTCATAGGGGCGCCGCGAAGTATTTGAAGATGCACAAGTTTTTTTTTCTCTTATGTACTAATAGTTATACTTTTACTTTGGCTAGGGCGCTTTTGTTTTAAGGGCACAAGAAAACATAGATCTTATGTAAGTGCATTTTGAACTAACACAGTAAAAATAATATACTGGGAGAATTTGAAGAGAAACTATTTTCCTGAATGTGGCAAAGTTATTTTCCAGTTGCAGCTGTTCTGTACCTGGGGAGACCAGTACTACATTGGGCTTAATGGGCTGGAGTTTTATGATGCTCTCTTTAACAAAATAGAGCT